TGCCTGTGTTTGGAGGAGTACTTGTGCCAAGCAGCTCACAGCTGTATGTCAGCACTGCTCAATTAGGCAGGAGTAACAGGAGTTCAAACTTGCTTCCCAGAATGCTTGAGCAGCATACTGGGGAATACTGGCTCTTTCAGGGATGAAGAAAATGTGCTAACCTTATTTTCAGATCTGTTAATTTCTTCAGAATAATTCTCTGTGGAATCACTGACTCCCAACGACTGTGTTGTTTATATAGCAACTTCAGTGATAAATCAATCAAATCCCTAAAATGTTACAATCCCAACATTTTATTATTTTAGAGTAAAACTTTTATAATTTTGGGGTTAGAACTTGACTACCAATGCGTAATTCTTTAAAGAAAATAGTCTCTTAAGGTATCTACAGCAGCATTCATAGGGGCATGGAATGGTTTGGGTTGGAAGGAACCTTAAAGATCATGTAGTTCCAAGCCCCCTGCCACGGGCAGGGACACCTTCCACTAGACCAGGTTGCTCAGAGCCCCATTCAAAGAATTCTCATGTTTTTCTGCTCTACTTCTATAATTTTCTTAAAATACTGATCCATCTTGTTTGACAAACAACAATTAAAATACTGTTTATCCTTTTTGTATTTTAAAACATTTTGTTGCCCAAGAATATATTCAGCTTGAAAACACTGTTTCCTTTTTGCTAGTGGTTGTACACCTGAGTTTTGGATGACCTGCTTGACCTTTTGGAGTAAGTATGACAGTGAAGATAAGCTGATGAATAAATGCTTATCCTGTTGGCAGGAATTAGGGTATTGGTCTCTCACTGTGTCGTGGTGCCATTCTCGGTGTGAGGGGCCTGGGCTTCCCACATCATACATGGAGAGAGCTGAGAATTCAGAAGAACCAATATGATGATTGGGGAATTTCTGTTTTAGCCACGTGGATATGATGAAACAAGGCAGAGAGGTGTTAACATTTAGCCCCTTTGACCTAAGACTGCAGGGAAGCAGACTCAGAGCTGATGTGTTAATAGCTCTCAGGATATGAGAGATACAGTTTAGAGGCTTTGAAGATGTTTAACCTACTTAGCTCACCTACGAAAAGAATAATCTGATTGCCAGCTTCAGGAGGATTGTAAGCCACTTTAGCAGTCCTCTGCAAAACTTGCTTCAGAGAGATCATTCCTACCACGAGCAACTCACCAAGTGTGTGATTTAGCACTTCATTTTGGCTCAAAAGGCCTCACGTACCGTGCCCTGGGTCGCTTCCTAGAGCCGTCTGAGAGCATGGGATTCCTTTGGGGAATGAGATGGGAAGGTGTGCTCCAACCACAGCACTCAACCTGTGTGTTCAGAGCAAAGCTGTTCTGAAGTAAACCCCTGCAATGTGCATTGGGCTCAGTATTTGACAGCCACCCAACGTTTGCCCTACAAAGGGGGGTCACTGGGACGGGTCTGCTTGCACACACGCACAGGCAGGAGGGTGTCAGCACACACCTCCCTCCCTGCTCTCTCCTGGACAACCTGTGCTCCTAAAAGTCACATTGAGTTGCTTTTACATGCCTGAGACCTTCTCAGAGGTCTGAGACTGAGACCTTCTAGATCTTGGCAAAGCTAAAAAGAGGGGTTTTTTGCTATTCTGGCAGGAAACTCCATGTGTAGAGAGATATCCCTCAGCTCTGCTGTGCTGTTTGCCAAAGCACCATTCCTCAACTGAATTAGATTACAAACCACTGTTCTGCCCTTCCCCATCTTCTTTATGGGCAGGTTTAAACCTCATGTATAACCTGTGATAGAAAAGAGATCAATTCCCTTTACCCACATTCCATCGTGCATTGAATAACACACTTCCTGAGATTCGTGCTACCAGTGCATGCAGCAACACTCTCTGTCTTCCAAAGGAAGTCATCAGACACACCTTAAGTTGCTAAATTACTCAGTGAGGGCTCTGTTACAGAAAAGCAAATGATAAAATTGAGACCTGATGTAAACAGCTGAAGCTCATGATAATGGGTTAGCTGGTGACAACAGTGATGTAAATATTCTATTAGCAAACAGGTCAGAAAATGGGTGCAATTTTCCTCAGCTTAATCTACAAGGGCTGTTTACTACATACAAATAAAAGAGCAGTTCTGAGAAAATGGAATAGAATAAAACAATCCAAAAGCATAGATTGCTACATTTAATCCTTCTTAAACCACAATAAATAATAAGAAAAACAGATTATTTTTTAAAGGGCAGGGAAAGGTCTAGTATTTTTTTCTTTAGAGAAACTGTAAAGACTAACACAACATTAACAAATTAAAAATGTCTCAGAAAGAAGAGAGTTGACAAACTAATAAGTAATGATGTGCTTTCCTTGAATCCCTGAAGCATCTTGATATATATATATAAATCAGTATCTCATTTTTCAAGATAGATCCTGCACCCTCAGAAAGTGTCCTTAGCTCACTGGACATGAAATGAAGTGCTGCCCACACTCTTTTTTGTCTTTTTCTGGCTAACAGAAGATCTCTCACCCATCTGAAAGATGATTATTTTCCTGTTCACATCCTCATCAGACCAGTCACCCGTGACTTTGTCACGCTGCAACGTGTTTTACTCACGGCTCCCCTCTGAGCTGCCCCGAGGCACGAAGCTCACGCTCATAGTGGTGGCTGGCAGGAACACATTCCAGCTCGCCCCACTTGGCTCCTGTGTGCTCAAACACCGCACTGAGGTGCCTTGGCTTCTGTTTCTGTTTAATTTAAGAAATCCTTTCTAGTTTTGCACCTTCCATCCCGGGTCAGGCTCCCCCCGGGGGCACTCGCGCCCTCTGCTGCCGTCACAGCGTGACCGCTGCGGGGGGAAATCCCCTCGGGCTGGGAGAGAATCCACGGGGAGGCGGCACAGAGTGTTCTCTGCTGTGAAGTCCCGCAGGTGTTTCACTGGCTTCCATGATTTCCAACGAAATTTTGACAAGGAAGAAATCTTCAACTAATTTAAAAATGCTCAGTAGTTTCCCAAGGAAACCTAGGAAAGGTTCAGAGGTAACAATGGGGCTCGTCCCATAAAAGTTACAGTTTAACTTGCCCCGTGGCTGTTCTCAAACACTGCTGCCCCTCCACCACTGTCACTCTCTCAGCTACAGCACAAATCACGACTCTGCCACGGCAAGAATTGCATGCAAAAAGCAAATGAAGTGTATCTAAAACACGGTCGTTTGAGTGGCAAGTCACAAACACAGCTTTGCAACGTGCCATTTGTGTTGCAGGAAGATATTGTTATGCTGGTTAGTTTAAGTCTGAGGGTAAGTAAATTGTAATATATAGATGTTTAAGAAAGAATAAACAAAAAAAAAGTCAAAAAAAGCCACCAAAATCCTGTTTATTTATACAGACATAAGTGTTGTCCAGTATAGGATATAGTGTTCTTATGTGGCTTTCAAAAAAAAAATACACACTGATGTAGTTGCTGTTAAAGAAAAGAAAAAAGTCATCCTATTTTCGAGGCTCAAGCCCATAATTTGACTAGAAAGTGCTGGAAATTATAATGTACAGATTCATCAGCATTTGAAAAGGAAAAGCTTTTGCTGTTTCAGTGCTGCAGTGGGTCAGGGTTTTCAACAGCACGGTACACACGTGACAGAACAAATAAACATCACAGGGAGCATACCTTGTATGCAATACTCAGTGTTTTATCATAGAGATCCATCCCTACCATGAAAAACACAGAAACAAAACCTAATACTGGCAATACCTTTGGTGGGAATCCTCCTCCATGTGCTGGCCAGCTACAAAAATGTGCCCCAGAGCTTCCTGCTCTGGCCAGAGCGACGCTCACTCACCTCTGGGGATCCTCAGCAAAATAAGGGTGTCAGGCACTGGCAGCAAACTGAACAATAATAGTGAGGGTCCACCAGATAAACAAGCAAAAAAACTCACCAAATTCACTTTTAGAAATCACTCCATTAAGCTACATTTGATCTACATATGATTCTTCAAAATCAAGAGCAGTATTTTGCTTAAATCAATTGCCTTTGGAAGGGAATTGTTCATAATTTGACTTAGTTCAGTTTAATTTTGCAGGTTTCTCTTCTCTTAAAGATCTAACATGGCTTAACTGTTTTGTTAATTCAGGTCAATACTCCCTTTGCCTTCACCAAGGGAGTTCTCTATTTCATACTCCAGTTTTGTATAAAGCTCTGTCTGGGTGAAGTATTTCTAGAACTCATGTGTACATTCTTTGTTGTGAACTATTTCCTTGGGTAGCAGTGAAAACATATATTCATGCCTGACCAAAACCGACTGTTTTTACAGAAGTTAAAAAAACCCCAAAAAACATTTTTTGAAATTTCCTGTTTTAATTATTCAAGGAGATTTTTTTTTTCCTTCCCAAAATACAAGCAGAGTTGGAATAACCATACATTCCATATGTAGTCATATTCCATAACCACTGTTTAAGGAAAAAGAGCAATGTCTTCACCCATATGTATATTATTGAACTCTGGGTCTGGAAAAGATCAAGACCTTGATTCAAATTAAACAAACAAACAAACAAAAACAACCAACCAACCAAAATCAAAACAGTTTTGAAGGGAGTACATTCCTGGAATTATGTCCACATATAAATAACTTATTCACGTCAGAAATTCCAGTGAACTTTAATCCTCGTGTCAGCAAGTGTTGCATGATAAGGATTTCAGATGCTGCAGATAAAGAAAAAACTGAAAAGAGCTTGTCTTCCATTCATCTGGAACTATCATTTACAGCTACATAATTCTATTGATCAGGGAGGTTTTGTTTCCTCTCCAAAAATTTATTTAGAGTTCAAGACAAGTCCCTTTGCTTGTTTGGCTTCATAAGCTTATTCAAGATTTTATAAGGATGTAAAAAAAAGAAGTCAGCAGTTTGCTCAACAGCTTCCCAATTCTAACAAAATTTACTTTGTTTTCTAAGAGTTTGATGGGCAGGGTATTTGTACAAACATTTCAGTAATTTAACTTTACCTGAGGCGATTTTCAGGTTCACATTTGCAGTCTGTATTACCTCTGAAGCATTCCCAAAGCAGTCAGCCCATCAGCAGAGCTCCCAGCAGGCCATCCTCTCCAGGTGAATGGGATGCAGCCAATCCAAACAGCAGGTTTAGGAAAATCAGCAACATGATTTCTGTAATACCTATAAATCAAATACCTATAAATCAAAAGGATTAGCATCGAGCTACTCCCAGCCAAAAGATTTTACTTCAGTAGTGGTTTGCTGTTCTGGATGAGAATGATCATTCTGCTTGCTTTCTTAAGCTGCTTAGTGTTCAAACAACTGTAATTTGGAATTGGATAAGCCTTCCTCCCATTTTTATGCTCTATTTCATGGTTTATGATCCATGGATGTAACTGTCCTTCCATGCATGATCTTTTTTACTCTGTTTCTCTCATGTCCCTTTAGATCCTGCAATAAGCAAAGGCCCAATTTCACACTGAGTCCTGTGGAGCTTTTAAATGCCATTCTATCGACTTGAGCATTAACTATTTAACATCTGGCTGCTACAATTGACTTGTCACACTTAGTCTCCAGAATCGACCTGGCTGAGATCAGTGGGAGGTAATTCACCCTTTGGAGCTGGGAAAAGCCTCAAGGTAGAGTTTCAACAATTTATATTTACAGTCCCTCCACAGTAATTAGACTGGAACAGTGTTTAATGCATGAATGTATTAATATGTTTAATAATTAATGTTTCATGCCACACCAGGTCAAGGAACTTTCCATCAGCATAACTTCAGCTGATAAACTACCATTTGGCTGCATTCCTTCAGGTCATGATTAGTGGTAGCTTAATCTGTATAATATACTTGTTAAAACCTCCAAAGCTTTTCTCTCTGCAGTCCTACCACACAGGCCACACCAGTTACTGCAGTATTTCTGGGACATATGTATAAGACTGGTCAGCTGCACTGCTGACAGTCATCACTAATGCTGCTGGAAAAAAGGAAACTGAATCATAGAATATCCTGATTTGGAAGGGACCCACAAGAATCATTGAATCCAACTCTTAGCCCTTCCCAGGACACCCCAAAACGCCACCATGTGCCCGAGAGCATCGTCCGAACACTCCCTGAGCTCTGTCAGGCTTGCTGCTGTGACCACTGCCCCGGGGACCCCGTTCAGTGCCCGACCACCCTCTGGGGGAAGAACTTTTTCCTGATCCCCAACCTAACCCTGCCCCGGCACAGCTCCGTGCCGTCTCCTCGAGTGCTTCTGGTCTCCCAGAGCAATGCTCAGTGCCTGCCCCTCGTGAGGGAGCTGCAGGCGGTGAGGTCTGACCTCGGTCTCCTCCGGGCTGAACAAACCGGGCGCCCTCAGCCGCTCCTTGTGGGGCTTCTCCTCCAGACCCTTCCCCATGTTCCTTATCAGAGCTCCAATTGCGTCCACTGCGAGAGAGGGGGAAACCCAACCCCTCTCGTTTGGGACAGCACTGCAGGGAGCTGCAAAGCGGCCGTTCCGTGGGCACGGCGTGTGGGACACCCTGCCTGCCTGGGAAGGGATCCCCGTCCGCACCTGCCGCTGAGCAGGAAATGACAGCACAGCGTCCCTTCGGCCGCCTGCTCGCTCAGGGGCTGTTTCATACACGTGTTTTGTGAGTTCCAGCACAAGGAATCCGAAGTCCCGGGGCTCACAAACGCCTCTCCCCGTTAAGGACTGACCTGGCCGCCGCTCGCCCTCAGCGCCCGAGGCCCCGCCCCCGCTCAGGGCCCCGCCCCTCCACAGCTGTGTGACGTCACTGGGCGGGACGGCTCCATGCGCACTGCCCATGTGAGGCGGCTTCCGGGAGAGTCAACCGGAGCCTTAAAGGGTCCGCAGCGCCCCGCTGTCCCGAGCGGCGCCCCCGGCCGGTGGCAGGCCCGTTTGTCCCGGTGTCTGCACACCCGCCCGCCCGGCACCGCCCGCCCGAAGCGCCCCGGGGCGCGCTCCGGCCCGCTGGGTGCAAAGGCGTGCGGGGGGCGGGGCCACGGGCAGCCAGCCAATCAGCAGCAGAGCGCTTCCCAGCCGGCACCAATCAGAGGCGCCGGTCCCCACGGCGCGCGCGGCGGGCCAATGGAATCCCGCGCTGGGCCAGGCCGGGCAGGGCCGCCCCGGGGCTGCGCCCGCGGCCTCCCGCCAGCAGGGGGCGCGCGGGGGCGGCGGCGGCGCGGCGGGAGGCGCCCGGCCGCTCTCGCCGCTCCCGCCGCCACTGCCGTCGCGCCCGGCCCGCCCGCCCCGCCTCCCGCTGCGCCGCCGCGGCCTCACCGCAGGTACGGGCGGGGACACCCGGACACCCCACACACCGGCACCGCCGCCCCCCCGGGACCCTCCGCCCCGGCCAGCGCCGTGCCGCCCGCCCCGTCCCTGCGGTGCCGCCGTGCCCCGCCGAGGTGCGGCCGCGGGTCGGGCCGTGTGTCCCCCCGGGCCGGGCCGGGCGGGCCCCGGGAGGGCCCCGCGGCGAACAAAGGCGGCGGGCGGGCCCCGGGGGAGCGGGACCGGCGGGGCGGGAGCGCTCCTGTTGCTGCGGGGCCGGACCCGACCCCGGCGGGAGCGAGCGCTGACAGCGGCCGGGCCCGGGCCGGGCCGTGCCCGCGGCCCCCGCGATGGGAGTTTGGGGGTCTGGCTGCTGCGGCAGGAGCGCGGGGATTTCTGTGCCCCCCCCGCACCGGGTGCTCGGGCGGCCCGGGGTGTTCTGGTGCGGAAAGTCAGAACTGTATTGCAGGAAGTGACAAAAAAAACCCGACAAATCAAACCAACTCCAGAATCAAAACAGGCAGCGAAACTCAAATACTGTCGATTGCGGTCCTCAGAGCTAGTTAGCAAAGGTCGTCTCGGTGTAAATCGTGGGGGTGAATCTGGATCTGTTGGTAAGATGCTCCTTCTTCGGCTTGTTTTTTTGGATCTGTTCTGTATTAGAATATCTAAAGGAACTGTAATTCGAAGTCTTCCAGCCCCACTCCTTAATTTTCCTGCTGGGGAAATGAAGCGACTTCATAAAGCGTCTTTGTTCTCTCCTATTTCTTACGTGAATTTAAGAAAAACTGTAGCAAAGCAGTGAAAATTGAAAGCAAACCTCGAACAGTATCTTATTATTTTGTGGGTAGGGAGCGAGTGGGAGGAGATGCAACTAAATACTGAAGGTAAATAAAGAGTGGAGAATGAATAAGTGTTAAACCATTGCTATATATTCTGTTCCATTTTATTCAGATATTTATTTTTGACTGGAGACAAGTTTGGTTCTCTTTTCAGAAATAAAAACTGTGTTATTAAGTGGCTTTTTGAGCTGACATAACAGAGTTCTGTGACTGTAAGCAGAAGTATTAGATGAAGCAGAGGAGTTAACTCAGAGCTGTTGGAACGTGTGCTGTGTACTGTTTTTCCTGTTTCTCCCCCAGCATCTTGCATGCTTGAAGTGTCTTATATAACAGCCCAACGATGCATGAACACGAACATAAAATCTTTTGTGCTTTTGCTGTCTGAGGAAGATTTTGCGTTAAGATTTCCATTTTGCCTTATTTTGGTGCCAGTCCAAGTCTGGTGAGCAGTTTTCAATCTCTGGAAGGCATGCTTTAATTTGCACTGTAATTTATTGTCTGTGATTGTGTTCAAGCTGTCAGAGGGTTAGGATGGGCAATAAAATGGCTTTGACAAGTGTGCTTTGGGTCAGGCTCATTCTGTGATGGGCAGGTGCTCGATGTGCAGGTGGATTCCTGGCTGGGTTGTTGCTGGTGGTAGTGGAGGTGTTTGTGTCGGTGCCATCTCTCTAGGAAGCAGTTTGGGTGTAGCTGCATTTGGGCCACTTCCCACTTGCCTCTGCCGAGGCACAGGCCTGCTTTCTTGTGCCCCTGGGGTGGGAATTACATGGAAACAGCTCTTGGATCCAGATGCCTGGATGCATTGTTCTTATTGCTGCTGCTGGTGGTGCAGGAGGTACCAACAGAGGAAAGGCTTTTACTTCTCATAGGTGAAAGGGATTTATACTGCCTGCTTTTGGTCATGTATTGACTCCTGCTGTTCTGTTTTGGTGTTGGTCTTCTCTTTGCAGTATCCCCTTTATTCTGGGACCCAGGATGTAACTTCTCTCCTCTGGAGTGCAGCTTTCCTATATGGAAACATTGGTGAACTGTCTGTGGTTTTTATTTTAAACACAGGCTTCTGCTTTCACAGCTTCTGACCCAAGTTTTGACATAGGATGGTGTAGATGATTTCTGGCTGAGTGGATTTAATATTTTGGGTTTGTTACCTTCTGACTCTGTGGGAAAGGCTGATGTTACTCTTTGTTCACAGTGATTTCCACTAGACTTGCACCCCTGTCAGGGTTCGTAATTCAGCTGAACCGCTGAGGCTGGTAGAGATCTATCAACAGCAATCACGATAAAAATTTCAATGTGCTTTGTACTGCACAAAGATTCAATTTGAGATTTCTGCAACCCAGTAATTGTGTTAATAGTGAACTCAGTGATGCATGGCAAGAAGATACGCTCCTCTATCTTTAAAAGAACACATCTGTACACTGCAGTTGCTTTTGAAGTTGTGGCTCTCTGGAGAGGGAAGTGCAGCAAGGACCACTGGCTCCCAGTTGTTCTCAGCATTTAGGCCTGAAGGTGCAGAGAATGCTTGTTTGAAGTATTTGTAATGGCTGGAGCCATGAATGTCTGTAACAAACAGTAACTGAGTTTATTGGTCAGCTGAAGGTTATTAATTCCCAGGGGTGGTAGTTCTGGACCCTAAATGATGTTATGCATTTTTCTGCTATTCTCCATTTATCTCCAAATAAGTGATCTGCGAAACTGTGTGCAGGAGGAGAAAGGATCAGTCCTGCCCAGTTCTCTGTCCTTTGGGACTGAATTTTCCACTGAGGGAACTTGTGTGCATGGCAAACCGTAGATGCCTGTTCTCTGGACAAGCTTTACACAGTGTGACCTTGCTTTTTAGAATAACCAAGGCCTGTATTTCTACAGAAAAACTCAGTTCTCTACATTTTGTTTGAATTTATTCACTTGTGTTCTACAGATCAATCTTGGCTTTGCAAGATAGCCTGGCAGTTATTGTGTTCAAAGCCTTTGTGCCTGAATGTGGCACATGGCACATGCTAAATACTGGGAATGCCCTTTAAAATGTATCTTGAATGAAGTGCCAAAATACAGAAAACAAGGGAACTGTGTTGCCTTGTGCTGGAAGCAAATAACCAGTGAGAGGAATAAGTGGCTTTGTGTAGCAGCCGTGGAGGGATTCCTGTCCCCCTGAGCTGGCACAAACCTGTTGTCCTTCCTGTCCCTGCTTGTGTAGCTGGACCAGCATCTGTCACAGGAGGTGTCACTGGCTCCTGGCAGTGAACTTTCTGTCACTTGCCTTCTGTGAAACAGGATGAGTTGAAGTATAAATTGTTCTTTACCTTGTTTGGATTTAGGCAGCGCTTTGTTTTTTTGTTTTATTTTTTTTTGTCCCTAGTGGGTTGGTAAATGGAGCTTGTCATGGTCACAAAGGCAGCTGGAGAAATACTGCATTTAATGCAACAATCACTTCTGCCTCTGACCTTAATTGTTGGTACATTAGTCCGCTTTCTTTTCTTTTTTCCTTCAGCTCACATACTATTTTTTCCTTCCTTTAGCTGGTCTCCTTCAGGGAATTGCACAAAGAGTAAAGCAACAGTACAGGCTTTGCTTTTCTAGTAATAATTACAAGCGACAAAGCAGCATTTAGACTGTTTAAATGTATGGAAGTACATTTAATATGTTTACTTGTTTGAAATTCTGTCCCTGCAAATGGAGGAGAGCCGTTGCTAAGTAGATGGTGATTTTTATCTTGGAAAGTGGATGGATAACATTGAAAGTCAAGACATGATTGTTATTTGTCTTGTATATAACTGAGTCTAATGTGTTTCTGGTTGAGAGGATCTAAGGATAATTTGGAGGAAAGAGATACTGTCACAGGTGCTATCTGAAACAATTTTAAATCTTCTGCAACATCATCAAATATTGGGGCAATGTGACTGTCAAAGTATTTTAAGAAAAGATAATTTTTGCCTGAATATCTTTTGGATGCAAATGAGAAGGAAAAAAAATAGAAAACTGCTTCGAATAATAAGTTTCAGCACTCATATGTTCATCACTTGCTCGCTATTCCTTTATATGTGGTGCCAGTTTGTAACATTTCCATTAACTTGATTGTTGTGGAGAAATTGGATGTGCACATTCTCAAGTTCAATATGCCATTCTTTAATGTTTGTGCTGGAGGTGATAAATAAATGCCGTTTTTACAGTGTTGGACTTCTTTCCTTTCTTTGCAAGTTGGGGGTGGAGTTTTGGGGTTGCTTGAAATTAGTAAAGCTGATCTTAAAACTTGTCCAGATTGAGTGGCAAGGTATTACATTGTCAGGTGTTAATGTAGAGAACTAATAGCTAACTACACAGGTCACATGCTGGGACAGCACACTTCAAAGAGCCTCATCCCGAGGGTTACACACATCATTTTAGCTTGTTTAACTGGGGCATTTGTAAATCCAGCAGATTAAAGACATGAAGTAAAAAAGAATCACTGTTTCAGACAAATTGAACTGAAATGTCAAGCTGATAATGTGGAATTACGTTGAAGTAATTCAGTTTTTCAAGTGAAGGAGGTAGTTTTGCTAAAGTGTCCAAGGCTTTCACCTTGGTCAGCTGGTAAATATTATTAAAGCAGTAGTGTTTGCTTCTAATTACACTTTAGTGGTGGAGTGATGATGAGAGGCTCTAGAATTAGGCTTACTGGTAGTTTTCTTGTCAGTTTGGGTTTTATTGATAAATACACCAGGATCTTGAGTTGATTTCTACTTCAACGAGCAAATAAAAACTGTGTTAAGAGGGGCCAGTGTGGGCCTGCAGCTTGCTTTAGCAGTGCTGCATTCAGGCTGTGCCTGGAGTTTGCTGTAATTTCCCTAACGTGACTCTACCTCATCTGGAGTAGAGAAGTGGAAACCAAAGATAAATTAGGAATTGGAAGAAGGGTTTTCTGTTGGAATGTTGTGTAACTGGGCACTGACAGAGAGTGGTGGTTCTGATCTGGGGCTTCTCCCTGGATGGCCGGGGGCACTTTGGTGCCCGTCAGGGTTTGCTTGGATGTGCTCTCTGAAACTGTGGGGCTGCAGTGTCATCTTTGCCTGATGGACTCAGTGCTGATGTGAGATTGGATCCTTCTGGGCCAAGTGCAAACTGTTACACATTATAACAGCCGTTTATCTCTCTTCCTTTTTGAGGAGTGGCATATCCGAAAAGTGGATGTTCAGGATAACATGTCCAATGTGTCGGAAGAGAGAAGCACTAGACAACAGGACATTAAGAAAGGACTCCAGTTTATAGAGTATGATTTTGTGGTTTTTATTCTTGTATTCTTATTCACCTATACATACATATATATACGAGATGGAAAGCTCTGGGAAGGTCCTTTTAGTGTAGCACCAGCATAGACAGGAGAAGGACCTGTGTTTCTCCTCAGAATACTTGCAAACACTGCCATGTTGAATGGGGAGCAGTCTTAAAGGAAAGACAGAACCCCTCTTTGTTCCTAAACACAGCAGATTGAAGGTGGGAGGTTATTCCTTTTCTGCCTTTGAGAAAAATCAGCCTTTAATCTTTTTTCGTGAGTGGAAAATGTTGTTGGCCTGAAAATCCACCTTACACTTAAGAATAGCTACCCTAAGACTGGGTTGCTACTGAAAGGGATGGGTTTGCTCACCACTACCCAAGTGTTTCAACTCTCTGGAGCTGAAATTTAACCTAATGAAAAATCATCTTAGGACTTAACTTTCATTTATGTCAATGCCAGATTCTTTTGAAGATCCTGGTTATGTTAAAATCGTTGTGAAATTTCACACTAGTTCACTGCTTATATAAGGCATTGTTAGAGAAAGAAAGGGGAGGGGAAAAGAAAACTGAGCATTTAAAAATAATTTAGAAACAGAATCTCACTTAACCTATATGGAAAAGGAAAGGGTTCCTATTTTTCTTCCTGAAAAGGTAGAAGTAAATACCTTTTTTCTGTGCTAGACAAAGTCTCTGTTGCATGTCATACAAAAGAGCTTTTAAAATTCCTGTAGTGTCATTGGTACGACTTAATTAAAATTGATGTGTTCTTGTGACAGATAATTTGTCATTTTATAATACTTACAAGAAGATTGCAGTTCTCCTCATGTATAATCTGGTTCTGCACAGTGGAGGAGAGGAAGGAAACTGTTTTTAATCAAACAACCCTGATGTCTAAAACTCTCAAATCATTCAGAGCCTTAATACATTTTGAACAGCAGAGTTTGTAACTTTAACAGTGAGTCATTAGTAATAAGAAAGCACAGTTTTTTAAATCAGAACTCATGCACAGCTCCCTTCCTTGGTCAGGGCAGGCTGTGGGCAAAGTGCAGAGACTTGCCTGTTGGAGGAAGAGAGGCTGCTGTTAGTGAGAACCAGCAATCTGCAAGGGATTGTCTCTTAAGCAACATGTATAACAAATAAAGGCTGTGATTTTTTTCGTTTCTAGATCTACTTTGCCCTATCCAGGGACGCAAGAACAATATGAGGTAATGAAATATTACTTTAATTTCCAGAGGGGTTTTTAACATGGACCTATCTTACTATAGCTACTCTTGGTTTTAGTCATCATTTAAGTGGTGATATGGTATGAATGGTAATTTAAAAAGTCTAACTATGGGAACTGGGGGACTACTAACATTAGGATACAGGTATTCAGGTATTTGGGAGTGCTGAATTCACTCATATAGCAGTCTTTCAGGTGAAGTCTTTCTCTACTGGTGTTGGGAATAAATTTGAGGCATTAATTGAGTAAAACAATGTGCTACTCTAAGTAAAGTTCAGAGTAGCACAGCAAAAGTGAGATAAAAGGACTTCACTCACATACACCTTTCAGAACATGTTTTGTTTCTGTATGTGTTGTGATTTTGGCTTGTATTTTCAGACTCATCTTCTTAGTTCTTTATCCAGTGGTAGGTGGTTTCATTGGATTTGAGAACATACTAGATAAAAATGCAATTGTTCACATTTTAGATGTAAAAATCCTATTGCTGTGCAGAAGCAGCCTTTGTGTACTCCTGCTTTGCCAGTTGCTATGGCTGCTGCTTGCTGAAAGAATGTATGGAACATATATATATATATATATCTCCATCTCTGAGATTGTCTGGGGAAATGTCAGAAGGAAAATACCAATACAGACAAAAGTTTTGTGTTTCACTCTGATTCCATGAGGCTACAAGTGTAATTTTTGTATTTTAAAATTTATGTGGAGACATGGCAGATAACCAACCAGCTGCTGCTGAGGAGTGTCCCTTCCCTTTGTTGCAGTTATTTATCCGAGACCTCGTTAGGAACCTTTTCAATGAAGGAAACGACGTCTATCGGGAGGGTGATTGGAGGGGATCACTGAGCCATTACACAGAAGCTATAAACATTGCTGATTATGCTAATTCTGAAGAGATCCACGTTTCTGATGATGTCCTAGAGAAGCTGCACGTGAACAGGATAGCGTGTTTCTCAAACATGGTAAGCTGCTGCCCAGCCTGGGAGTGTGGACACCCAGAAAGTTTGAAGAGTGAAAAACTCTTGGTGATGGTTGAAGATTGATGTGTTTCAAATCATCACTTTGGCACCTTGTTCAATTCTTCTTTTCAGAAGTATGATTGAGGTATTTTTAGTTACTAATACGAGGATATTAACATAAGAGTCATACTAGGCTTGGAATTTGATGGAACAGGATTTTTATCTATTTATACTGCTGATTGCACCTGAGTCTGCTGCCTTCTCTGCAGAACAAGATGGCTCTTGTGAAAAAGATAAATTTTTTTTGTGACTGGTGGTGGATTTTACATAAATGATGACCCTGCCTGTTTTTAGTTGCCCAAGTTGGTGACTGAGCAAAACTCGTAAATGCAGCATTGCTGAATGTTTTACAGTGTTTCAATACCTTCATCTAATAAAGGTTGAATTCACTATTTCAATGATAATAGTTCTGATTAGTAGATTTTTTTTTTTCTTTTTCCTCCTCCTAGGGATTGCATGAAAAAGTTCTAGAAGACTGTGAGATAGCACTAAGATTGAATGAAAACAATTTCAGAGCTCTCTATAGGAAAGCAAAAGCTTTGAATGAGCTGGGAAGGTATAAGAAGGCTTATGATGCTGTAGCAAAATGTTCTCTTGCTGTGCCACAGGTGGGTAAATTATATATTGAAGATTATTTTTAAAGGTTTGAAACAGATATTATTGAAACAAGTAATACATCAAGACCACTGAAGGTTGTTTCTGTTGGTTTGGTTTTTTTTTTTTAATGCAGTAAAATATTCTTTATTTCTCTAAGCATTATTTTGGAAGTCAAAACGGAGAGCAGAGATTGTAGTCCCCAAACTCAGTTTGTTGTGTTCACTTCCAGCAAAAGCAATCAGGCACTTTGCAGTGGGGCTCAAGTGCCATGAACGTTTGCCACAAGCACCAGAACCACGGAATTCTTTGTTTAAAATTCTCTAGGACACGAAGAGAATATTTTGAGTATGATTTGAATGTACAATAATTTGAATGTACAATATTGATTCCAAGCCTTTAGTACCGTTCTTGTCCTCCTCCTGAATGCCTTGCTGTGCCCCCCTGCTTTGGGCTGTGTCTGGGTTAGCAGCAGTGAGTGGTACAGGAGGACATGAGCTGTAGACTGAAATGCTGGTCCTAGGGGGTCTGGTTTCTGTGATTGGTTTCTGTGGTTGGCTCGGTTTGTTGTTTTATTTGTCTGTTATTTTTTAAGAGTTGGGGTGCATCAGGTCAGTTCCTGCAGGACTTTCAGTTTAGTGACATCCCAAACTAATCTGCTTTGGCTCTCTGAGACCCCTCACAGTGGAACCCAGAACGCTGCGAGTGGGGATGATGGAGAGGTTTCACTGCAGAAAGGCATTCCTGGTTTGAACTGAAATGCTGATGGAAGCTTTGCATGCTTTGCTCAAAATAGAGTGATCACAGGACAGAATTACTGACTTGCTGCTTTTTCACCTTTCCACATCAAAGTGACAGTGACATGAGCAGACAAACTGGTGAGCGTAGGTTTGCCTCTTGATATAGACAAGGTTTCAGTTTTGTTTCCAAAGGCATAAGCAGTTCATCTGAATGTGTAACTTTGGACTTTGGATCCTCACTTTGCACCTCCAGATCTGAATGTTTTTGCTTGAGGTTGATATGCCTTTATATAAGTTTTATAAATAGCTTTTTTTCTAGCTGTGGGACATGATCTGAATACTAAATCTTAAAATAATTTCAATGGATAGTTATTGTAATTACATGACAAAGTGAAATATGTTGGTTTTAACTCAGCTTTTCTGGTTGTGTGGTGCAATTACTCCCAAAATACAGAGTTCTCATTAAATATTTACCAGTGTCATGTAGTGGTTGATATGTTAATCAGGAATGTGGCCCTCAGTTTGTGTTAAACTGACAAAACAAACCCCCATCCCCTCAAAGAACAAACACCCTCCTCAAATAAGAAGAAAAATACCCACCCACAAAAAAACCCCCAACAAAACACTTCTCTGAATTTCTCTCGTTTTGGAAAAATCTTTATTTTAAATTCAGATAAATGGGAAAAACTGATACTGTTCATTTCCTGTCCTTTTCTTATTAAGTTCCCACTGTTGGAGTAACTTTGCTTGAGGGTAGCTTTATTTTTCGTGTTTGGGTTTTAGTCCCATGTGTTTGTGAAAGGATAAAGCTGCATGAAGAGACATCCTGCATGCATCGTGCACAATATAGACTGAGATGTAAACAGATGCCTTGGCTACGTGACACTGCATGTAAATGATGACATTTTATTTATGTCTTTTAGGATGAAAGTGTGATTAAGCTTACCCAAGAACTAGCTCAAAAACTAGGGTTAAAAATAAGGAAAGCATATGTAAGAGCAAAGGTAAGATATTACCATTTTACATGAAGGTTTCCCTCTCATGATACCAAGTTTGTGTTTAATGAAAGTATCTTTTCTTTGCAGCCACCCTCCTCAAATTCAGTTCCTAGTGATTTATCAACTCAGGTAAGGTTTTGCATGGTCCAAGTGCAAGCTGAGTGTAAACTGCAGGGAATAATTGTTTCATAATTTCACCACGGTAAAGGGAAAATGGTGCCACTGGCATTTTATATGAGATGCTGGTATCTCACACTGTAGGGTTCTGTTGGTCTTTGTGTTCAGTTTTGCTCTATATTATGGCGGACTGGGACATAATATTATCCTTCAAGTTATCTTTGTAGAATAAATGTTATCTAAAATATTAATTCCAGTGCAATGCATGTATTTACTTTTAATGTCTTGAGGCAAGAGCATAGTTAATGTGCTTATTTTTTATTTTACTTTATTGACAGTTATCAAAATGAAGGGTGCTGGGATAAAATCCCTTTTACTATATGGACTTGTCCAAATTTGACCTTCATTAGCAGCTGAATTTGCATTTGTCTTGCTGCTTGTAATGTGTCTGAATGGCAGTAATGAAGAGGAGTTAATTTTTATCTTTCAGACTTCTTTCACAGGAATATAGACAAGTTAGCTGTAAATGAATGAGGAAACGTAGGAAACAGCTCATTTAAGACACCATTTAGACTCTTTCATTCCCTGAAGTATCACTCTTACTTTTGTTGGTTGGTTGCAAATTTCTAGTGGTACTGTGAGTGGATTTCAGTCTGCAAATGGATGCTTTATCTAAAAAATTATTTGACCCTTAAATTGCATTAGGCTTCCTAAATTTCAGATTTTATAAACCCTGCATTTTAGTGCTTACAGTCTTCATTGTAAATACATATTTGAAATGTTTAAATGGCTTTTGTGCAAAGTGCTGAGAGGTTTTGTTTGTTTTTTTTTTTCTTGCTTACAGAATTCTTCTGTAGAAGATATTGAGTTAGGTGAGTCTTGTGTTACCATACCAGTGCTAGGAAGCTAAATATGCCATATATATCACATTGTATTTGTTAGGAAATGTCTGAAGAACGTTCATCTTGTCATTTGAGAGTTCCGTGGTAAAAAGTCTGATCTGTTTATCTCTAAAACTGCATATTTAAGTGGCTGAGCCAATTTCTCTTTGGTCTCCTCAACGTGATGTGATTGTAGCTGCTCCTGTAGTGACCATTTCCATCCTGTTCTCTTTAACTTGGAAGAACAGGGAGGGGTGAAAATGCCAAAGATTTAGTAAAATATCAGGTCTGTAACCTTTCCTCGTTTTTCTCAATTTGAGCAGTAGATAAACACTGAAACATAGGTGCACATGAATTGGAAGCTGATGGAAACTGAAAACATTTAATGTGGTTTTGCTTCAACATTCTTCCCATTTCTTCACTCCCTCACCCTCCACACTGGCAGGGTAAAAGTTATGCAAGATTTTTTCATGTCTTTGAACCTATCTTACCTGTTTCAGATTTATCTGACCAGAAACAAGAGATGGTTTCTGCTGCTTCTTCATCAAACTTTGTTTCTGAAGTGTCTAAAGTGTCACCAGTTCCTGTACCATCTTTATCTGCTGTTATGCCTCTTCAGATGGAAAAGGTCCCTTTGCCTTCTGCAGTGTTGGCAAATGGAGGGAATGTTTCTTTCCCTATGCCAGAGGCATGTTTAGATTGTGGAGATGGAGATATAATTATTGGGGAAGAACTTGATGAACTACTTGATTCTGTGCCTGATCCTGATGAAGGTGTAATGGTAAGACTTTTTTTGTCTGTTTTGCTTCTCCAAAGACTATTCCTATGAGTGAGATCTTGTATTTTTATCAAGTGGCTAAGTGTGTGTTACGTTTCCTGGTTACATCGAGCTGTATTTGTACATAGGTGGAGTTTTTTTTTTCATGTGAAAATTCTTGTAAATGTGGCTGTAAAGATATCAGGACTAGAACTGCTGCAGAAATACTGTTAGCTACTACCAATAGTACTTAGAGGAAGTACTGTGAAAAGTGAATTGACCATTTGAAATCTGGCCTAGTGTGGTTTTTTTGGGTGTTTTTGTGCAAATAACTCCACTTAGAACATTAAGGGTGTGTGGGAGTGCTCAGTTGTAGAAACTATAGTTACACAGAAGCAAACAGCTTTGCAGGACAGAAGTACTGGGGCTGTGGCCTTCTGGGGCTCTTCCTGGTATCTCTGCAATCAGAGCTCTGTCCAGATCCACCTCCTGGCTGAACAGAAATAGGCCATCATGAGACTGACTTTATATATTTTTAGAAGAGATATTAAAGAAATTTAGTTATATGAAGTGTTGTTCCTAATTACACCATCACTGCAGCCCTAGAACAGAACAGTGTTCCTCAGTTGTTGGTCAGAACGAGAGCTCTGACTGATGAGCAGATGTCTGAACTTACTAGCAGGTTACTGACTCCCTGCTGCGACCCTGCCCGTCACTTGGAGTATTTATTTTGTACTGCACTAGTATTGCAGTGTTAAAAGAGGCTGTGGCATGTTCAGTCCTTTAATTAGTTGTGATTTTAATTCCTCATTCAGCTGTGGATATGGGATTGTAAATCTTCAAATCAGAAATGCTTGGGCTTCTAATTTTCCGGTTTATGCACTTCGTGTTTTTGAAAGTATTTTGAAAATGTAGGAAGTAATTGTTTTGAGCAGATCCCAGGAACTTTGCCATGGTGGAAGCCAGGAGGAAATGCAGTCTTGCAGGACAGACTGCAGGCTCGTGGAGTGTGGAATCTTGAGGGAATTCTAAACTGATAACCTGGGGAACAGAGGGAGTTTCACATGGGCCAGGCTCTGTGCAGACCTACTTGGTCAACCTCCAGACAAGGGGGAGCTTCTGGTGATGGCAGGAGGAAGGGAGGGGAAACTTCCCCACTTGGCTTGTCCTTCATGAAGGTGCACAGAAGGATAAGTTATTTTTCATGGGGGGAAAGAAGATGAGGTGGCTTTTGCAGAAGATGTTACCATTTGATTGTATCTGAGGATTTATTTCAAAGCTGACTCTTACCTCTTTGTTGTACTACACTTTTAGTAAAAAAAAAAATGTTGATTTGTCTCTTCCTAGTCTTCAGTTTGTGTTTTTAATGTAATTTGGAAATTCAGCTCTGATCTGATGGATACAAAAATCCAAAGCTGGTAGTAAGTTAGTAAAGGTTTGGTAAGTGAACCTTTGAGGTGGTTGATCCATGGATCAGCCTTGCCCTAGGGCACTCTTTATGGTTTGGGTACTGCAGCTCTTGCAGTACTGGAGTGTACCTTTCATCAATGTTTCTCAGTAGGTTTATACAAATTTTGCAGAAGCCTTACTAAAAGAAATACTGTGGCAGATTTGTGTTCTTGAGGGTTTTTTTTGCTGGGGGTGAACACACTTTTTAAATTTATTTTTTTTCCAGCAAACTACAGGAGCCAGAGGACCTATTCCTGCAGGGAGCGTAGCTCCCAGTGTTCCTTTCTCTGCCTCTTTGTTGGGGACGCTGCCAGTTAGTGCAGGATTTGTTCCTTCACCTTCTCTTTCAGAAATCTTTTCACAGCCTTTGGCTTCTTCTCTGGAAAACTTTTGTTCACCTTTAAGCACCTTTTCAATCAGTGACCCAAAAAGAGGTAAGAAACGAGCCTTAATATTTAACCTTTTGTGATGAGAGTTGTGCATGAGCCAGCTGGCTTTTCTTTTTAACAAATGAGTTTTCACTGCTATTCAGTAATATTCAACACTTAACATTTCATCTCTGCTAGTGGTTTTTGAGTGTTGGTTGTACACTAGAATTTATAAGTAAAACTTTTGTTTCCTTGGGGTCTGCATAAGCACGGTCCAAGCTCCCTCTGTTCAGTTTTTGTAGATTGTATAACTTTATTTGTTTCAGGTGAATGAGTTTAAAGAAGAAACAGTTTTCCTTCAAAGTTTTTTTTTTTAATTTAAAACAGAGATGTTCTTGCAGCTTAAACCATTTGTCATGATTTGGCAATAAACAAGAATTACAAAAAGGGTAATATAGCTGTGTACTCTGAAAAGATACAAGTATTACATTCAAAACATAAGGACTATAATTATGTAGTGAAATCAGGTATGTGAAATAGGATATAAATAGTCAGTGAACTAGAAAGCATAAAATAGTTTTGTCTCTAATTACCAGTGTTACAGGACAATGTTGTATTTAGAAAGAAGCCAGAGTTACAAAATAAAACTTAAGAAGAATCCTCTTAAACCCTCTTTCACTTCATTCTCTCATAGTCAGGTGTTGCTTATCTCACTACCCTTTCTGTACTGCACAAGTATCTTCATATTGCTTCAGTATCTGCCTGTGAAGCTGCTGCTGATTGTAATTTTTCAGCCCAGGTGTTTTACAAGGACCTTTTACATAACTGAAAAAAATTTATCGTAGCAAAAAAACCCCAACTTTGGTGCTTATCAAAAAAGCTTTGATACTTCTCAGGAATGATAAATAATTTTTTTGCATGGGATGTTCTGGGGAACTGATATAATTCAAACTTCTTGATTTTCCTCTAGACATCTCAAGTTCAGCTTCTAGAGATGGAACACCAGCACTGAGCAGCAATAACTCCCCGTTGTTTGTATGTATTTTTCATGTTTTCTTTCACATCAGTTCAAACGTTAACACCTTGAAGGCTTTGCACAGGTCTGAATTTTTACAGTTGAAGTTTCTATTTTTAAAATAAAAAGGCACTTTTAGTTTTAAAATAGGATTCTGACTTGGAAAACAATTGCACAGGAGCTCACAGAGACAGTAACTGAGCACAAGAAAAAAATGTACAGGTGTTGGTTTATATATGCAAATTTTGAATGCTGTTGCTACCACTTTTCCATTCTGAGGGAGCTGCTGTAAAATGCTGTTTAACTGTAAAATAAACAATATAAAATCTCTTATGATCTGAGTGCCAAATACTGGGAATCCTGAAGAGCTGTCCTAGTACAGGAACAGAGCAGATACCACCTTGTGTCTGGGTATCTCTCTGCTCTCTGTATTCTGGTCATGCCGTATATTTTCAGTTGTGCTGCTGGCATGGATTATATGGGTAAGGGTGACCCCCTTCTGAGCCAGGATGGAGTAATAATTAGCCTGACAAGGGCTGTTCTCCCTGTACCTGCTTGGGTCTTGTTTTATGCTTAGTCTGTGCTGTGTAAACAGCCTTTGTAAAATTTCTATGTCCCTTCTTAGACCTGTGTTTATGTTTTATATTATGATTTTTTTTTTTTGTGGTAGTCTTTTTATGCTTTGAAGAATAATTTTAGTAGGTTGAATTTGAATTGTAGATAAATAATTTGGATCAAGTAAAATATACTTTCTTTCAACAGATAAATGGTCCTAATAGTTTGTTTGGGTCCGAAAATTACATGGGAATTGCAGGCCAAAGTAGAAATGACTTTTCAAATGTTTTTAGCAGTACAACTGCTAATATACCTGTATCTTCAGCACTTGGGGGAAGAAACCCATTAGAAGGCACACATGAGCTAAGACAGGCCTGCCAGTTATGTTTTGTCAAAAAAGGTAAGGGGCTTTTGGACTCGATTGGTTTGATTTCCTTAAATTTAAAATGCTTAATGTTCATAATAAACCACTGTTGGCTTCTAAACCGTGTTAATCCTGACTCGTTCTTTGCAGATGTAGCGCTGTCCTGTGATTGGTAAAATATTTCAGCCACTTTTGTCTTCTTTCTTCTTGTCTTTATTTCTTGTCCTAATAGATTCTTGATTTCTAAACCCGCCCCCAATCACCACACGCTCTCCCCAGGCTGTGTGAGGTCATTCACATTCTGTGTTCGCTTTCCTCCCAAACCCCAGGGTTCTGTGAAGAGTGACACCTTTGCTCAAGACTAAATAAAACTTGCAATACTCTCTCTGATTGGCCCTGGGGAATTGAACTGCAGTTCAAAGTACCTGGTAACCTTCACATCCCATCTGTTTTATTGTTCTTTCAAACTAATTCTAAATCGTAATCATGAGGCTTCCAAACCTTGGTAATAATTAACTCCACTGCATTGACTCAAAGGAGCTTAACCAGTATTGGTCTTTAATATAACTAATCTTTTAGGCCTGAGCTGTTGCTGTTAAACAGAGGCATATTTTACAGGCAATAGCTTTTATTAAGACTAATCTTAAATATAAGCTTTGTGTTTATAGGCATAATTGATATTGATACACTAATAAAGAGTTATATCGAGACATTTAGGGGATGACTATTGTACTTTTAAGAACTTCTATATTTTAAATTATTTTTATAAGAAAAATCCATAAAGTGATGTTTAAAAAACCATAGGACACATTTTCATAAAAGCAGGAGCTGTAAAATATTTGTGAAAATACTTAGCATGTTCCTAGCTTCACTTTTTGTGTCAACACATCTACTCCCTCTGTTTCTTTCCATTTCTATTAAAGCCTTTAAGTGTCTCTTGCTTTTACTACCTTTTGAAATTGTACTATTCCGTCATCATCTTGTCAGAGAAACTGGGTCATACTCTTGTTTTTCAGTCTCATAAACAGCAAAATTCACTGAGCATTGCTCATCTTCAGACTCTCTCCCTGATGTCTTCATTTGCTATCATCCTAAAGACAGAGTTTAAAGCTGGGCTTATTTTTGTTCCCAAAATCACAGAGTTCTGGGATTGGCATTTATCTTTTTGGCACAGGTGTACTTCTTACAGAGTGTGTTTTGTCTCTGAACGTAGTCCCTGTTCTAATAAAACCAAAGTTGAAGGTTAAGAGAGTAATTTACTGATCATTAGAATTCATCTGCATTGACTTATTATAAATAAGCAATTTAAATTTTAAACTGGTGTTATGGGAATGTATACTTTGGAATTTGAAAAAATGCAGCACTTCGCTGTCTCAAAGTAATCTTAAGGTTGTAACACAGCATCCCTCCCCAAATATAAAATAACATGTGGGTTTTTTCTTGCTGAGACTGGTCCTTTTGTAAGTATTTGGGTTTTTTTCTATTCTGCTCAACATGATGGTTAATGACTGCTGGTTCTTCAGAGCTGCTGGTGCAAGTAGGAGTTCTATACAGTGCGTTCATGTACTTTGCTTTTGGGCTTCTGTGCCAGTGTGTGTATGGAAGTGTTACCATTTGCTGCAGTTTATGCAAATACAAGCAATTTTCTGTGATTGTTTCAGGTCCTAAATTACTGGACTACGCTTACCATCCCAATTTAGAACATAAATGTAAGAAGGATATTTTAATTGGCAGAATAAAAAACTCTGAAGATAAATCATGGAAAAAAATACGGCCAAGACCAACAAAGACACAGTATGTGGGCCCATATCATATATGTAAAGGTAGGTGTTCCAGAGAGGAAGATGTTAATGCCTCCACTCAGAGGAATGTAGTTCAGCTTCTCCATAGTGAGGTACAGAGTGAAGTTTTATTCTTGCTCATGAGAGGTGGAGAAGGAAGTTCTGGGTTGTTTATAATATCAAAGGAGAGCCATATTTTGACTGGTAATGTGGTTATTTAGAGAACATGCACTGTGCTTCTGTATTGTTCTTCATCAGGAATAATTTTGCTTTCAAGTGCTGGGCGATTACTCTTAAGAAGAGCAACAAAAAAGCATTTTCTCTTAGACTTTTGCAGTATGAACCTCTACTTGTGATGTAAGCAAGGTGACTTGTGGATTAATGAACAGCTTTATTTAAGCACAGGGTATTCTGAGTTTTCTGCATTGTTGCCTTAGGCTGGTGCAGGATAGTTGATGGAGTTTTTAAATTTTCAGCAAGTCATTCAGCATCGGGTCTTGTGACCCATTTAAAACTGATGTACGTAACTTCTTTACTGAAAACATTTGAAACGGAGAGGGTGGGAGTTTCAAGATGAACTCCCGCTAAAAGTTGTTGCCAAAGCAGTGCCCCATTTGCTGCTGTGGTTTCAGATGTGGCTGCTGAAGAGGAGTGCAGGTACCCAGGTCACTGCACGTTCGCGTATTGCCAGGAGGAGATCGACGTGTGGACGCTGGAGCGCAAAGGAGCCTTCAGTCGAGAGGCCCTTTTTGGAGGAAGTGCAAAGATCAACTTGACTGTGTCCAGGCTGCTGCAGGAACATCATGGATTATTTATGTTTCTTTGTGAGGTGCTGCTTTATTTCTAATAACACAGTAAAAATTAGAATAGATACGAAAATTACCTGGAAAGAAACGCTTTGATTCATGCCTATTTTGTAAGTTTTGAAATGGATGTTCAGTAATAACCTGACTAGCTTCACTTTAGAGACTGGATAAAGTATCTGTTAAAATCTTTGAGGTAGGGTATATTTTGAAATGTACACAATACACACTGTGTAATTACTTTTTCTGTATTCCAGAAATGTTTTGATCACAAACCCAGAATAATAAGCAAAAGGAACAAGGATAACTCATCTTCTTGTTCTCACCCTGCTATGCATGACTTTGAAGATAACAAGTATGTTTTGAAATACCATCTCTATAAGTTTCAAATTAAAAGCAAAGTGTTTAGGGCAGTTCTGAATAGTGACTTTCATTTCTTACCTGTCGATTGACTTCTCTTCCCTGCTAACTGACTGTAATGCTTTGGCAGCATAGGCAAGACAGACTTACAAAACAAGGGTTGACTCATGTAACTAAATTAAAGTGAACTATTTCTTTATCAATGATTCACGAGTGGTCCACCCTCATCTTTGAATCTTAGGAGTTTTGGTGTCAGTTTAATAGCTTATCTACCTGGTGAGCTGTATTGATCTAAGTAGATGTATGATATAAATTAATATAGGAATTTGTAACTTTGATCTATTTTGCTTATTTTGCTGCACTTTTAACTCAGTTAAGAACAGGTTTACCTTGACTGCAGTGAATAAAATAGACCACAGTCCTTATTAACTCTGCTGATAAATAAACAGTGTGAGGAATGTGTTTTTAATTATTCTTTAACAAAGTTCTCACTGTTGTAATAGTATTAAATAAATTTTGGAGAATTAAGAGACTTACATTTTTATATGATGGAAACATAAGTAGGAGCATTTGAATTGCTTTGTTTGCACTGCAGTTCCCTGTATTGAGGAAACACTGCAGCTACAAGAGCTGGGCTGTTACTGCAGGGCATCACCTCTGTCTTTAATGGTGTTTTACAGAAGAATAAGTACTTGTGTTAGTAATTAGATCAGAGTTTGTACTTGAAAGTGGACATGATATGCTTTCCCTCTGGGAAACCAGTGATGCAGTTGGATTGAGTTCAGTAATGCTTTGCAGAAGAGGGACCTGGATGTCACAGGAGCAGTTTAGTGATGTTTGTTTATTTGGCCTAGAAATGACCCTTGGATGTGACCTCCTCCTGGAAACTGTTTGACTTTCTCCTTTCAAATAAAAAGTGTTTAAAAGACACTTGAATAATCTGTGATGTGGGGTGGTCGTTTCAAGAAATACCTAAAACTGGCTGTTTCCAAAACAGGTGCCTTGTCCACAGTTTGCGAGAAACTATGGTGAAATATTCCAAAATCCGCCCTTTCCAACTGCGATGTCAGCTTGACCTGTGCAGACACGAGGTGCATTACGGCTGCCTGCGAGAGGATAAATGCTTTTATGCTCACAGTCTGGTAGAGCTTAAAGTCTGGATAATGCAGAAGGAAACAAGTGCGTTTTGCTTTACTCTTCATGGTCTTGCCACTCCATCCTTGTCTCCACTCCCGGTGAAATCAGCAGCTTGGGATCAGGGCAGGGAGCAGGCAGGAACAATCTCGTGTCTCTCAGCTTGGGTTTTGGAGGGTTTTTCTGTGATACAGTGCAGCTTTTATAATTACCTGATCGTGATGGGTTTAGTGTCACGTTTAAACAACTACTCAAAGATGCACCTTGACTTATGTGAGCAATCTGTAATTTAAAGAACTTGTATGCTTTTCAGTGTGATGATACATACAATATTTCTGGTTTGGAGGCCCTCATGATATCCTTAAGTATATATATTTGTGTGTATGGATGTAAATGGATATCCAGGATATACACACATACACGTGTGTGTGAATATTTACACAATATATCAAAACTGATAAAAGCTTTGGGGCTTCAGTTGCATCGCAGTTTGAGCATGTGTGTAATGCCACAACAGTCATAAGTACTCAAGCACTTTCCCCCCTTCCTTTGCAGGTATTTCACATGATACTATTGTTCAGGAATCAAAGAAATACTGGCAGAACATGGAAGCTAGTGCACATGGATCACAGGTATTTTCATTTTTCCATTCAACTGATTCTACAGTGACTCTGGTGATAATTCTTTTTTAATGTATGGAGCATATTTTAGAAATTTTTTTTTTAATGATTTCCAAATAATCTCTTTCAGTGTAGACTTTCTTCAGCTTGTTTCACTTAGACTAAAATGCCTGCTTTGCTGCTGTGCAATTCCTTTTTTGCTTTGCTTATTCTGTCATAGGTGGAACATGAAACATAAATATAATTTCAAAGTCAGGTGCCATAGGGCAATTATCTTTTCCATATGGAGGACTTTTATGTGTTTAGTTTGTATATATTACCACAACTTCAGGGTACATAGACCTAAACCAGAAATAAGTTAAATAAAAAAAATGCGTGTGTTAAGAAAGGTCTAGTTTGAAATGGCAAGCTGAGCTATGTGAAGGCCTGCAGTAACACCTGCTCCCCAACATGTGTTGAAAACTGGTGCTATAGGGGGTAATTCATAACTATGTATGGATTTCTTTGCAGATGCAAAATACCTTTTACTGTTGTTGTTATTTTTTTGGCTTAAGATTCTTGGGAACCAAATGAAATACGGATCACTTAATTTGAAGATGAAGTTTGTTTGTGGTCAGTGCTGGAGAAATGGCCAAGTTAATGAGCCAGACAGAAACAAAAAATACTGCAGTGCAAAGGCCAGACACCCGTAAGTAAGATCAAATAGTGAAACTTTTCCTGATTTTTTTTTTCAGCCATTTAAAACCTCTTTTGGGAAACTTTGTTGCTTCTTAGGAAAGAGTCATACTAGGAATTAAAAAACCAAAACATATTGAAGTAGAACAGTCATCTCTTTGTAGCACGTCAATAATTGGTACTGAGAAACACTTTGGTGGCTACAAAAGTGTTTTATGTTTTGGTTTTTAAATGATCAGTTTCAGTAGAACTTTGTTAAATCTCAAATATATGGCAAAAGCTTTGTAAAGAACTTTTCTGAGCTCTCCTGGTTCTGCTTCTGTGCACACAGTGGGGCTTTTTTTAACTGTATTTTCTCTCACTGAACGCATCTGGTTTTCAGATGGACCAAAGATCGCCGTGTGGTGCTCGTAATGTCTAATGAGCGCAAGAAGTGGATGACCATCCGTCCCCTTCCTGCAAAGAAACAAGTGCCTCTGCAATTTGATGTATGTTAACCTGAAACTAATGTTTTGGTTAAGAAAACAGAGCAATTGGGGTGGTTTCATCAGCTCTGCAGGAATTCCCACGGGAGGTGGTGGGAATACCTACACAGTGTTTCTGAGTTCAGCCTTAGGAAAGCCCTGATCTCACGTGCTATTACTGAAGCCCTTTCTCATGAGTGGAAGTAAATACTTCAGAAATAATTGATACATCTCTGTGGTCTGGTAATGTGGTAGGAGGCAAAAAGCACTCATAGTACTTGTTTCCAGCAGTTTGGGTTTTTTTTAACTCCAAGAAATGAGTTTTTTCTAAAATAAACATGATTTTGTTTCTCATGCTATATAAATGTGTGACTGGGAGGGGAAACACTAGCCAGGGCTGAAAAAAAAATTCTACTAGCATCCATTTTACTTTATATTCATAAGGATTTTTTTTTTTAATTCATGTTCCAGTTGTGCAATCATATTGCTTCAGGCAAGAAATGTCAGTATGATGGAAACTGCTCATTTGCTCACAGTCCTGAGGAGAGAGAGATGTGGACCTATATGAAGGAGAACAGCAGTAAGTAGAAGAGTAGATTCTATCATGCTGTAAATCTTAACTGTTCTGCTTTTCATTCTTGTATTTCAGTTATTTTTTAATCTACTTTCTTTCACTGTCTTTTGTAGTAAACCTTGCAGGTGCCCTTTTAATTTGAATAAACCCAGTCTGGGTATTCAAAACCAGTATTGAATAGAAATAGCTGTATTGTATATTTGTTGCTTGATGTGCTTTTTAACAATAGTTTCTGTCATTTTTTAGGTATCTTAGAATAGTGTATTGATCCTTGCAGCAATATTGTTTGTGGTTTGTACTTTACATTGCCATGTGTGCACACATGGATTCTGTTGAAAACAGTGGGGAAAGCTCTTTGTGGAACAATCCCCCCCCAGTGTATTTACTGGGAATTATCATTCACTTTCTGTTGCTGACCTGTTATCCCACTAGTGTGACTGGGGAGAAATCATCAAAAATCAGAAGGTAAAATTAGATAAATTATCAGATCCTGTTCTGCAAGAAAGCAGACTAAATTTACCAAAAACTGTAGCACATGTTACATTAGCATTTTGAAATTCAGGTATTGATACACAGTGGCACAGTTGACCTGTGCCTTGGGTGCCTGTCCAGAAACAGGTCTTGCTTTCCTCCCTATAGGCACAGCAGGGTCTTGGTAAGTAGCCAGAGACTCCTGTTGCTCTTGGCTCTTCATCCCTAAACTGTAACTGTCTACGTTTGTTTCCTTCCTTTTTTTCTTCTTACAATAGGTGGGGACTGAATTAAGCTTTGCAAGCTCAGTCATTTGTGTAGTGTTCTCAAACTCTTGCCTTAATTGCTAATTACTTATTTTAGCTTCTGCTCTCATTAGTTCAAGACTTGGAGCAGTTGTATGACATATGGCTAAAAAGTCAAAAACCAGAAAAAGGAGATGATGCAGCTGCTCAGGCAAACAAAGAAAATGGGAAGCAAATTCACATGCCAACTGACTATGCTGAAGTTACAGTAAGTAATCATAGCTATAATCCTAAATCCAAGTATGTGGGATTTTTGGGGTTTTGTGTTTGTTTTTTTTTCTCCCAGTCAGTGACTTGACATTGCTGCACTCATTGTCTTGGTGCTTCCTTAGTCCATTGGTAGCTACACTAAATGCAAACACTGACATTGTAAAGCAGTTCTTTTAAAGCCAGTGGAGATCATAAACTTCAGGTGACTGTTTAAATAACTGTATCTCTTTAGGTAAACAACAATTTACAGACCAACATAGGGCATTCAAAATGTATTAGGAGCATTTCTGTGCTTAAAGCATTGAATTCTCAATGTTTTGTTTTCAAATTCCTTGTAAAACAGGTGGATTTTCACTGTTGGATGTGTGGGAAGAACTGTAATAGTGAGAAGCAATGGCAGGGTCACATTTCTTCTGAAAAGCATAAAGAGAAGGTTTTCCACACTGAGGATGATCAAAACTGCTGGCAGTATCGCTTTCCAACGGGATATTTTAGCATTTGTGATAGGTATGTGGTTTTTAAGATGACAACTTAAATAATTCAGTTACTAGTTTCAGTTTCTAGTATTTGTTGCATTGCATGCATCTTTCTACAAGAAATTAAGTAATTAACAGTATTTTAACGTACTTTAGAACTCAAGGAGTGACAAGGTGCCTAATTGTGGATCCAAATGTTTGTGTGTTGTTAATAAAGGGTTGCAGGTTCACAGCAGCTGTATGAAATGAATATTGTTTGGTATTATTATGAGTGTACTTAGGCAGTGCATATTAATTAGCTGTAGAGCACAAGAACAGTGCCTTGCTGGACAGTGATCCTGGAGCTCTAAGGCAAGTAGAAATGTTGGCATCAAACCCAATTTGTTATTAGAAATCATTTATGACTGTGCTGAAGAGAACTTCCAAGATCTGTTGGTTTTTCCCCAGCATTGGTTGTATGTTTTGCTGCTCCCTTTAATTCTCAAATGCAGCCTGTTTACCTGCCTGCAGAAGACTTCCTTGTAAATCTGTTGAAAATTCTTTCCACTGTTGGAATCCTTTTTGGAAGGCTAAACACTTTGGCATTCTGGAGTTAAAGGTTCAGTTTGCTGAATTGTTACTCAGTTGGTTACTCCTTTTGCAGTGAAAGAGTTTGAGTGCCTTAGAGATCTTACGAAATTGCACAGTTATTTTTCATTTGCAGTCTTTGCATGGAAGCTCACATGCCCCTTTGCTAAATTTTTAAGTGACACTTTAAGTGTATTTGATGTTTTGACCATAGCAGACCTTGAATATGCAGCATAAAGTGAATGCAAACTGGCATGCCAAGTTGTATTGAGTATTCTAAAATCAAATTTAGTTAACAAGGGTAATTAATTAGTTGGATTTTTTTGTCAATAGCAGTTCTTTAGCTTAGTGAGTTAAATAAGGTATTCATTAATATGAATTTGAAAGTTTCAAGCGTTAAAGGACTCAGTAAAGTAGGAGCATGAAGAACAGAAAGAAAAGAGCCATGTCCTGTCCTCTGTAAACACTTGACATCTGGGAAAGGAAAATACAATCAAATGTAAACAGAGTTATTATCTTCTTACTTTAAAAGTAAATACTCATTTTAAGTTTTTTTGTCCTTAATATGTAGTGTATTTGAAAAACATGATCTGAAGAAAAATTCTAGGCAAAATAGTGATCACAGTAATTCTATGAAAACACTATTTAAAATCTGTCTTGACAGATATATGGCTGGTACTTGCACTGAAGGAAACAACTGTAAATTTGCCCATGGAAATGCTGAACTCCGTGAGTGGGAAGAACGAAGACAAGTTTTAAGAATGAAGCTCAGCAAAGCAAGAAAAGACCACTTGATTGCTCCCAGTGATAATGATTTTGGAAAATATAGTTTTTTGTTTAAAGATTTAAACTAATACTGAGATGACACATACATGTTATCAGCTGGAAGCATAAACCAGAAAATTTGACAATAATCAAAAGCATGTGACAGAAAATCTGCAGGTTTTCTGCTTTTATTGGCATATATTGTTCCTCCTGAACAGCAAAGTATAGTAGATTTAGGGGGATTGAGCAGACCTGTCTATGCTCTCATGAAACAGAGTGGTGATTAAAAAAACCTGAAGTATTATGTGCTTACTCACCTTCTGTTGGACAGAAAGTTAGGAAATAGAAGGGGGGGAAGAGTGGTTATAATATCTAGGAAGCCCCCTAGTTCTCAGACCTTCAGTTGAAAAACTTTAAGGTATCAAGGTATTGCAAAAGAGAGTGTTATGGGCTAAGAAAATGATGGATGAAAATTCTTCAGATCTTTTAATGGAGAGGATTTGTTTAAAACAAAGTTTGCTACTTATCTATATGTAGGTTGCTAAAAAGGATTTTCTTATTAAAGATTTTAAACAAAATAACCATTTAACTACAATATATGTTGAATGGGTATTTTTTCTCTATTTGTATGTTTCAATATAATTTACTGAAAAAGGATCTTGGGAGGAAAAAAAGTATTAATTTTTGAAAATGAAGTAGTTAAAATTCTGTTTCTTGGTCTTTGCTGTTTAAATGATGATTTTGAAAGATTACACTTGTATGTCAGTATTGTGTATTATTGTATGGACTAATGTTGCCTGTAATAAAGAGAACTTTACACAAAGCTGTTTTCTGCATGTAGCCTCTCAGGATTGAGATTTTTGTAAAAACAAACAATGATTTGCCAGTTTAGCAAAAGCTTGAGCACACGTAGCTAAAAGCTTACTCGGTTGGTATTTGTGTCGCTCGCTGCTTGTTTGCGGTTTTCTGTGTTGTCGTTAGCTCATGGCATCACTACAGTAACAAAAATGGCCAATAACTTGCAATGTAGACAAGCAGTTTGGAGCTGTGTGGTGCTGGGACATGTTTTCAGCCCTTGGCCAGGGCACTGAGCCAATAACTCAGCTGTAAGGTGGATGGTGCTCCCCACTGCCTTTCCTGCAGAGCGTAGGACATGGAAAACCATTCGGGGGCTGAGGTGACTCCTGACTGATGAGCCCTTGGGCTTACAGTCACTGGAGCTTCTGCTGTGTTTTGGCTTCTCTGCAGATCCTGCTTTCAGCTTTCTTTGTGTGTTCGCTGATTTCCTTTCCCCCCCTCAAGTAAGCTGTTTTCAGTCAGTCATTCAAAATAGCTAATGCTAGGTTTGGTTTTTTCCTCCTCCTCCCCTAACTGATTTCTCCCTCCTCTCAAGAGTACTTTTCTCTGTTCCTGGCTGACCTTATATAGTTAGAAGAGCTTTAAGAATGACCTCAGTAGTTTGAATGTAGTCATTGGGCAGATATTGTGTATGTGTAAAAGGTGTTGGACCAAAGTTCAGTGATACCCAATACACGACATGGATGATGTGTCCCTTTTACTGCACAGAAAGCACAATAACTATGAAACCACCACCTTGTGCTTCAGTCATGGCTTGGGATCTTGGGAAGTAACTGCTCCTCCCAGGCTGGGCTGCAGTGCATTGGAGTACAGGATGCAGACAAATGAGCTCTCGGTGCTTGAAATACCACCCGCTGCAGTGCTGATTTTTTTACATTGTTTGTAATAAACTGAGCGTGAGACAAGAGTACTGTGGACACTGTTATTTGTGTGACAAAACCTGACTGTATCGTGTGCCTTTCTGAACTGTTTTTTTTCCTCAATTTTATGCTTTCATTGTTTAATTGTATAAGTGCTCTGTAAATCACTGAAGTAATTCTAGGAAAAAAAAAAAATACTAAAACATGAAACCCTCGTTCCGTAAGGCCGGTGTGAAATCTTTCCTGGGGGCTGGTGGGGAGTTACCGCCGGGGGGGCTCAGGGGTTCTTCCCTCGGTGAGCGCGGGCCTCGCGGCGCTGCCCTGCGGGGAGCAGGAGGCGAGCAGAGCGATTCCTGTCCCGGAGCGATTCCAACCCCAGAGCGGTTCCAACCCCGGAGCGGTTCCCGTGTGGCGGGGCCGGGGCGCTCCCGGCGGGCCCCGCGCGGGCTGTGGGCGCGGACGTGGCGGCGTTGGGTTGGCGGGCGGAGGGGCCGCCCCGCCCGGCCCGGCCCGGCGCGGCGCTCAGGGGCGGGCGGTGGGAGACGTGTGCGAGCGGGAGCGGCGCGGGCCCTGCCGCCCTGCCCGCCCCTGCCCTGCCCTGCCCGCCCTCCCGGCCGGGGCCATGTCGGGGTGCGGCGGCTCCGGCCCCGCCGCGGCCCCGCGGGTGCGGCCCCGCGCGGCGCTGATGGCGCGGCGGCCCGAGGTGCTGTGCGGCGCGGCCATCGTGCTGGGCTGCGCCTTCCTCGTCGCCCTCAAAGTCACCTGCAGGTACCGCCGGGGAGCGGGCGGGGGGATCGTGGTGCTGCCCCGGGGTCGGGTCTGGTCCCGCGGTGCCGGGTCGGGCACGACCGTGCCCGGGGTGGGCGGTGGGTCCTGCCCTCACCACACGCGGTCCCCATGGCAACCGCGGCCCCGCGCGTGTCCGGGGCCCGCCGTGTCACCCGGCGGGTGGAACGCGTGTGGGAGGGAGCGGGGTGTGAAGGGGCGGCTGCCCCGGCGGGGGTACGCGGGACACGCGTCTGGGCTCGGTGTAAGTGTCTGCAGGGAGGTGTCAGAGGATGGACCGAGCTCTGCTCGGGGGTCCCCGGCAATGGGGCGAGAGGGAATGGACAGGAACTGATGCTCAGGAAGTTCCACCTGAACATGAGGAAGAACTTCTTCCCTGTGCAGTGACCGAGCACTGGAACAGATTGTCCAGAGAGGGTGCGGAGTGTCCTCACTGGAGATACTCCAGAACCGCCTGGACACAATCCTGTGCCGTGTGCTCTGGGATGACCCTGCTGGAGCAGGAGCAGGAGGTGGGACCGGATGACCCGCTGTGGTCCCTTCCAGCCTGACCCTTTCTGTGATTCTGTGGCAGGCGCGCTGCTGAGATAAAGCTGCTTTTGCTCATCTCCAGAGGTAACTGGAACCTCGCTCTGCCACAGAGGGGCTGAGGGGGCTCGGGGCTGAGCTCTACCCTCAGCGCTCTCAGCGTCGGCCTGGGGGAAATGGGTCTCTTCTGGCCCATGTGCTGGTGTTGTCACTCCCCTTTGCTCGGTCCTGCTTCAGACAAAAAAGATTTTGCGGTTTCTGCGCAATCTGGTGGTGCTCCTCTCGGGAGCTGGAGCTCCCTTGTTTGCAGAAGTGTTGGTGGCTCCTGTTTGCCCAGAGCTGGGTGCGAGGAACCAGGCGATGTGTGTGCTCGAGGGGCTGGGCACGGGCTGCTCGCTCTGGGAGCCTGAAGCGGGATCTGAACCTTCGGATGGGTTTTAAGTCAAGGTGACTGTTCTGTGATTCAGGTCACACTGTATTAATTTAAGAATATCTACAGCACTTGGAGTTTCATTTTGAGAGTGGGAAAAGGCTACATATTTTATATGTACATCCCTATTCTGCAGAATCCGACAATTTTTTGTTCCAATAAACACTTGGGTCGCAGGTAATGCTTCTGAAAACTGCTAAGGCCTTTTCCCACCTGTGCACAGAGAATGTATTATTTGAACCAGAGTGAATTTTAAGTCTATCAGTGAGTGTCTCTGGGTAGCTGTGCCTCTGTTCCAGGAGTCTGTATCTCACAATGACCAGATAAAATAGATAAAAAAATGTAAAGCTCTTGCTGTATTTCAGAATGTATGGTGAAGAATTTCTGAACATAATCACCTCCACAATTAACTGTCCATTACTAAAAAAAATTTTGCTTTTTTTTACATTTATGATGATTTTTGTATTTTCTTCCTGCTCTCCTTTACTTAAAACCTGCATGTTCTTTTAATTTTACTACTGTCTCTGTTTGAAAGCTCACAGATGGAATGTACTTCTTGACACGTGTACTCTGAACAGGAAGTTTGATTAAAGGGGTTTGGCTTTTCAGTTTGTATTTAAATAGACAAACTGATATCAGAAAAGTATTCCTTGTTTGGTTATCAGAAATAGAGAAAATTCAGTTGTAAAAATTCCACATACAATTTGGAGACATAGTTTCTAACCACATGTCAGTATGATTTACAAGCAAGACTCAGCACCACAGTACGGTTACTACCACTAACTATTCTTACAATACACAACTTTGGAGATCAGTGGATAAAAAGTATGGAAAGGGAAAATTCCTTTACTACAAGGCAATCCATTTGTGGGGTTTGAGGTATTGCATGTTTATAGTGACTCAGGGAACAGCCAAATGAGACCTGACCTAGCATGGATTACTATGGAAAGCCTGTGGTTTAGAACCTGAATTATTTCTGGCAAAATGCAAATGTCTTTCAGACAACTGCAGTCTGAGGCCCTTGCAGTCAGAGGCTGGTCCTGCAGGCACTTGCATGTGCTTCCCTTTATTGCCAGGGTGTTCTGTTGGAAAGAGTTTAAGTTCCTGCAGGCTCTGAGCAGCAGCTAAATAACACAATCAGTGTTTTAATAAACAGTCTGTGATCATCATGTTTGTGTAATCATTTCTTATGTAATCAGTTTATATTTGTATAACTTTAGGGGGTTCTCTTAGTAAAGCTGGGTGTTATGTCAGGGTATTCTATTATGCATTTGTTATTGTAGAGGGAGACACTGCTGACCAGGTCACCTTAAGCAGCTGGTAGCTATTGATTTATTGTGTTTTGTTTTTTAATAGTTACTGGAAGATTTTCATATTTGAAAGCAGTTGTTTATTTCCTGACTCACTCATGTCACGGGACTTCTGCTGATGTGTTTTATTTACACTTCCTTGCAATTTGGAGGCAGTTCAGTATCTCATTTTTAAGGCTTATGCTACAACTCCTGAACTCTTTCAGTTTAATTCTGTAGAGGAAGCAGGGGTTTTAAACATATTGAAGTTGTCCATTTTCATTAAACAAATTAAAGAGGAGAAATTCCAGTTGATGTCTCTGAAGTAGGTGTGAGACCAGCCCTGCTGCGGTGTTGTGCTTGCAGCAGCTGATCAGTGTGTGACCTGTGAGCCAGAGCTCACGTGGGAGCTGTGTCCTGGCCAGCTGGCAGGCAGAAATAGCGGGAAGAAGCTGCCACTTTGGACAGGCACAGGGTGCAGGAACGGGAGGGAATCAGAGGTGTTGGTTGGGAGGTGATTTAAGCACCTGAGGGCTGGGGAAGGAGATGCTGGGTTGTTGGTTGGGAGAGAGGGGAAGAAACAAAGGTGGAAGTCCATAGAAGAAACTAGATTTTTGGTCATCTGTGTGAAAACACAGTGTTGTGAGTAATGGAATTAATGAATTATGAACATGAGGAACCGTTTTCAAAATTCTGGATTTTGGATCAAATATTTTCTCTTATATACAAATTAAGAATTTCCATAACTTTTAGAAAATATACTGGGGCAGTTCTAAAATGTTGAGTTTCAAGTGTATGCTTGATATTGTGGAAATGAAAGAAGAGTGTGGCTTTTCGCTGTATTGTAAAAAAAAAAAGGTTCTTCTTAAAAACCAGAAAGATTTTAAGGTTTGAAAATGTGGAAGTTATTAGAAAGTTGCTTAATATGTGAGTGAGACAGTGTTTGGGACTAAATAATCTCTATCACCATTAGTAAATTTTAACCTGAGAAGGATCAGATATCAGGTAATAAGATTTTTGTATTAGCTTCTTATTGCAACACAAAGTAAAAAAGTGCACAACCTTTCCTAAAGCTTCCTGTCACATTACAAACCATGGCAAAGTTGGGCATTGCAGTGTGGTGATCCAGTTTTCAATGACTTGCTCTAGAGTAAATATAGCTAGTGGTAAATGATAAAATTAAGAGAATATAAAAAGGGAGTATGATCATTCACTTGCATTTAAGGCCATTTATACCACAGCAACTTCTGAGCACCTTGGAAATGCTGAATTCCAGATTGTTTGATTGCGGGTTTGACAGAAAATTGTTTCCTCAGTGTTTGGTTTATGTTCTTGGTATTACTAGTCAAACTAATTTCTCTCAAGAAACTTAAACTGTCATAATGTCTTTGAATTTAGACTATTTGTTGATTTTGTCCTTACATTGAAGAGAAAATGTTGCCTGAACAGTTTGCAGTTCCTGCTCTAATCAGTAAAATAAACTTAACACGTATTTACAGTTTTTTTCCTGACAAGATATGAAAGAACAGAAGTGTGGAATACTTCACAACAAAGCATAAGGCAGGGTACTAGTCTCACAAAACTTCATGACCAATGTCTCTTTTCTTATCAGGGTGCTGTTACCTAAAGTACAAGTGTTAAAAGTGGATGAGGCCAGGGAATGAATCCAAACAAATCACTCTGCCTGGTAATTTTACCAGCTGTAAGAGTGGGAGCTGATGTGCCCAGAGACACAGTGCATGGTATCCCAGCGTGGCTTTGAGAAGCTTGTGCAGGGTGATCTTTAGGTGTTACGGTATTTCCTGATCCTAACTCAGATAGCGTGAGTTGCAGTCGTTTGCATCAACGTCCAAAGTTTTGTCATTGCGTGACTTTTGCTAAGAACAAAAACTCTGGCTTTGGGCACACTTTTAACCGCTGCTCTGCAGTCTCAGTAACCACCCTTAATCTCTTCCTGCAGCCGAGCGAAGGATGTGACGATGCCAGCGAAGCTTCCCGTGAATTTTTTCTCGCCGAGGTCTCCGGTCGTGGATCTGTTCCGGGGACAGTTGGACTACGCGGAGCAGCTCCGGCAGGACTCGGAAATCGCGCTCTATTTCTTCTACGCCCCGTGGTGTGGGCAGTCCATCGCAGCCAGAGAAGAGATAGAACACGTGGCCAGCAGGTTGTCAGACCAGGTACCTCCAGAGAAGATACCAATCTTAAACGTGGCCTGATAGCTTTTGAAGTGTCCCAGCTGACACTGATGTCTGGCTTCCCATGGGAACCAGCAGGACTTGAATGCCCACATATTTGGGTAACTCAGCCAGTGGTCTTAATATAGCATGGAGAGTGTTAGAATAAATGGAGACAAGCTGTGATTCCTGCTCAGTTATTTCTGCTCCTGAATGGGAAACTGTACAAGTTTCTTGTTGTAAAGTGTTCTCAGATTTATTCACCTGCCTTCAGACAGAAATTCCACAGAGTTTGCTTCCAGTTCCAGGATCCTTGGAGACACTGGTAATCATATGAGATTGTAACCTTTCTAGCAGCTGTGTATCTGTGAACACTTCACAGGTACAGCTGTCTTAAACCTCCACTTGTTGAGCTCCACTGCAGAAGAAGTAATTAATATGGATTATGACTGAATCAGTACATTTGGAGGATTTAGATTAAGAACCATAAAAACTGGGAAGAATAGTGACCAAAAAGATTGCTGTTGCAAAATGACAAAAAAAGTCTTTGTGTGATAGAATTAAGAGGAACAGGTATGGAATGCTTAGTTGAAAAGGCCCTGAAAACAGCAGATGGAATAGATTGTAAAAAGTACAGCTGGGATAAAAAAGTCACAGTAATGTACTTTGTTAGCTGTGAATTTTTACCTGCTTTTCAGGTGCTGTTTGTGGCTATAAATTGCTGGTGGAACCAGGGGAAATGCAGGAAGCAGAAGCATTTCTTTTATTTTCCTGTGATCCATTTATACCATCGGAGGTAAGATTTCATATGTATGGTCTGGGCTTTTTATTGTCATTTTGGGGAACAAAGACATCACATAAAATGCTGCAGTTTGAAAATGTTACATTTATGGCTGTAGTAAACAGCTGTAGAGGAGGAGACTCTGGGTGAAGCTCATCCTGTGTGCTACTCAGGTGCCAGGTAGGGCTGGAAATGTCAGTTAAATGACATGCTGGGCAATTCTTCATCCTTAAGGAAATTTTGTTTTGCCTGTGCATCTTCTGGAAGTTCTGCCGCCGATAAAAAGTAAAGAATTCAGAGTTGTATATTAATTTCATTTGTTTGCTTGCTCTGTAGATCTATTATATCAACTGGTCCTAATTTATTACAGCAGTAAAGAATGTACCTAAGGGTTGTTGGAGTGAGTGGAATTTAAGTGCATATTTAAATGGCACTTTGTACTGAAGACCTTCTGAATTTGAACTTTGCACTACTCACTTTTTATGCTCCAGATGTTGAGGTATCATTGTATAAAATTTTATATAACTTCATTTTTATTTTTTAGTATTTGTATGTATTATCCTTTTTTTCTCTTTGTATGGAGCAGAAGGTAAGGAAGCACACTTTCTGATGCTGTATATGATAGTTTATCCCTTGCATTGTACTTTTGCACACTTGTTTTGAACTGCAGCTCTTTCATTACAGAGGCTGATTATGGTTTTGGGTGGGGGGATTTATGTATTGAGGAGGAGCAGTCCTGATCTTTGTTAGCTGAACTTGGAGTAGACACAGGTGACACTGGCATAGTTCAAACTGCAACACCAGAACCTTACAATCCCACAAGGATTTATTGACTTAAACTTACTTGATCTTTAAATTACAACACGATAGATGGATGCACTTGGGTATTATCAGTAACTTTAAACAGAGTTGCAATAAGATGAGGTGTAAATCCATACTGATACCTCATAAAAACCCCAAAGGGCGATGCACCCCTCGTGCCTGAGGTATTAAACCTTCAACGTGGTGTCCTGGGCATGTGATGTGTTGAAGCACTGCGTGTTGCTGTGAAGGAAAGGTTTGTAATAAACCAGTGTGGGATGTAGAATAATCTACTGGGCTCTAGAAGAATTTCAGAGCACCTGAAGAGAGGTACCTCATTGGGAGTTTGATTATTTTCCAATGTGTCTGTATAAACTCTACAAGCAATGTTAAAAATGCATCACATTAAATTCTTCAGTGGAAATGGGCTAAGTCTTCGTGCTTTTTGTGTTTGATTTCATTTTGGACCGTGATGCTTTGTCCAGCCTAATGATAATAAATCAGATGCAAGATTTCAAGGGGATAAGGGGAACCTCTGGAAATTATAGCTGCAAGACCCAGCCCACCTTCTGTTTTAGCACTGCCTAAGGTGGTGTGAGCTGTTTTATCAGATGGCTGGGGGGAACTCTAGATTTGCTTAGTTTGTTTATCAGCAGTGGGCCTGGATTTGGCCCTGCCTTACTGATTGCTTCCTGAAAAAGTCTGTGTAAAAGTATTCCACCTTTCCAGATTGATACTTTTTGAGATACTGAAAAAATCAAATGAAAATAATGACATTTTTTCAGATCTGTGCTTTTAAGTCACATGTATGGAAGTCACATGAATTGGTCACACGGACCAAGCACAAAGCAGCATGTATGATCATATCATTTATACCTGCATTGTAGCAACTTTAATGGGACTCAGAAGGGTTCTCCATCCCTCTGTTCTCACCAACACACTGCTCCTTCCCACAGACAGTGGCTGGGATTCCTGTGCTGTGCTTCCCTCTGGTAACACAACTCCCCATCAGTCACTGCAGCCGCTGGTAAAACACAGAGAGCCATTCCCTAGAGGCTGAGCATGCTGTCTGTAACTCCTATCTGCCACCCCCAGGAGGGACTCCCTATTGTTAATTGAAGTCTTAATGTTCTATTATTTTTTTTGGTACTAGTTTTGGACCAATTGAATACAAAGGCCCAATGAGTGCTGTTTATATTGAAAAGTTTGTTCGCCGGGTGATGACACCACTACTCTACATCTCGTCTCGATCAAAATTACTAGATTTCCTCTCAAATTATGAGGTACTTATCTCTCTTCTCTAGCTTTACCACTGTGGTTCAGAAAGAGTTTGACTTGTCTAAGGATTAAATTTGATCTGCTCCAAAGTACTAGTTTATTTTCAGGATCCTGAAATCAGTGCCCTGTAAATTTGTTAAAATGATAAAAATATGAAATGACAAATTCATAATGTTGATTCCCTGTGTAGTTACTCTTATGATTTAGTGATGCTCTTAATTTACAGTACTTTAGTATGTAGAGACAACAATCAAAGTTGTTACCTCACCAAAAAGTTACATATGAACAAGAAATGAGGAAGAAATCATTTCATAAAAATCTTCAGTCTAAGGTGGGACAGCATTTGAGAAATACAGAATCATTAATTTTTAAAGGAATGTTAAGTCTTTCTAGTAGGATGAATCTGTTAAGTAACAACAAATGTGAAAGCAGTTGAAATAAGAGCTCCTAACCACATTGTATGGGGGTAACTTCATGATTTTAATCCACTGGGACATGGTGTTTTATTAACTTTCAGTCTGTTGTTTTCAGGGGTACCAAGATTGGTAACAATACTAGTGGATTAATAACTTCCAGTAAGACAATATGTACGTACAAGAGAACCATTTACAGTCCCTTCATGACTGTTCATTTCTGCAGTGCACAGTGCAGAAATACCGCAGTCTTACTGAACCCCCAGGGTGTGGAGAACCTGATCAGCAGATCCCTGCTGCAGCAGTGGCTACAACGGGTGAGGGACCCACCCCCCAGTGCCTCAGAATGAAGCAGGGAACTGGTGCTTGTCCTAATGGCTGGTTCTGCTGCAGGAGGGAGCAGCTCCTGTGTGTTAAGTGACAGTGGCCATGGCGTGAGGGGTCACACGCTGGGGGTCACCGTGGGCAGGTGCTGTGCTGTTTGTGCCAGGAACTGTTAATGGGCTTGGGCTTCCAGTGCTTTAAGCGTGGAATGTGAGTCAGGAGTAGTGAGTTGTGTGCCTGTCTCTGGTGCTGATACTTTCTGTGATCTCAAGCAGTTCTGTTGTCCTCTCACTGCTTCAGTTTTGCCATTCTAAAATGTTTTTCTAAAACTCTAAAACATTCTTTTGCCTCTTACGGAGATTTGAAAACAGCCACGCTTGGTTTTTGGTCTGTGTTACATGAATTATTTCTTGGTAGTCTGCAAAAGATAACTAAGAAGCATATTGTCACTAAGTCTCAGTTTGCTTTGCAGTAAGAGGTGCACTTCCATTGGAGAAAGGTTAAGAGAAAAGGCAAACTTGGGGGGAACGGAAAATATTTTTTAAACACTGCTTAGCAATTGAATATTTGTTTTCGTTTCTGTGTTCAAAATTCCCCCATTCCTGCGCTTGAAATTCTGTGGCTCCAAATGCCAAATCTCTGTTTATGTTCAGCATTTGTTGGTTCTTTCTTTTCCCCCAAATGGCCCAAGAGTGGAGTCTGATCTGTTGTGTTGCCCTGCAGTAGTTAAGGCTGAGGTTGTACCAGAGCGTGGCACTTGGTGCTCAAATCTTGCCTCTGTGAAGTTAAGCAGGAAGGAGAGAAGGGGATACAAAAATAACGGATAAGGTGGAAGAAACAGAATTGTTTGTGAAGGTGGATGGAGAGGGAAACATAGTCAGGCCCAAAGGAAAAGATAGTTTTAAACCAGAAATAAACAAGTAATTTCATAATTTTAAACAGAAATGTGAATGGTTTCTAATGATTTCCATGCAAGCTGAGAAACTTTATACCATTTGTAGAAAATATAATCCAGGAGTGACTCCTGTGCTTAAGAAGTGAGGAGGTTTGGGGAATAAAGTAGACAGCAGGAAGTGCATGTATGGCACAAAGTACTTCCTATTTTGAGACCCTTGGCCTTTGATTTTTTATATTCTGTATAGAAAAAAAATATTCACTTTTAGCAGAAGGGAAAGGACAGAAGACTATCAAGGATTGCTCACTGGGCACCTTGACCACTGCCTGCTGGATCCTGTTTTTGTGATTTCTTCATTGAAAAGCTGATTAACTTGAAGCTCAGAATTTCTGAAAGATTTGTCATCGTCAGTATCTAATTTTCAGCCACTTGTTCTGCCAGCAAATGGGTTCTGCAAACAAAAAGAAATGCTGGTGAACAGAATCCAGCTAAATGTAAGGAGCAGTGATGTTTGTTCTTGGTGTTTTGTCCCTTCCTCGACCCGATCACGACTATCGTGACATGCTGTGCTGTTCTCACAAGAGGGCGCTCAAACCCCGTGAAAACAGTTCGGGTTGGGGACGCCGAAGTTCAGATCTGCGTTTTTTTGGTACTATTTAAGGTTGTTTTTTGTGCTTGTGGAATGATTGTAAAACTAGAACTGGATAAGAATTAGAATATAATTTTTGAGAGCAAGGAAAAATCCCATTCAGAAAGCAGTTAAAGTCTTGGAGTATATGGGAAAACCTAAGAGGACCTGCACTTTCTGCCATAACTCAAGGTACCTCTAAGTCCCTGTAGTCATCTTGTTTTCTCAGCTGCAGAGATGTAACAGTTTCTCTTTAACCCAGACTGGCCTGTCTCATTCCTCACTGACTAACCCAGCTGCTAGGAATGGCACAGGAATGTTGAACTCCATGAGTATCAGAACACATCCTGAACTCCATGAGTATCAGGGTACAGCCTGGCTGTCTTTGGCTGCTGAAAAAAACTGACTTCTACCTGTAGTTTTTTGTCTTTTCTACTGATCTAGAAAAGGATCTTCCATGTTATTCCTTGTCACCTTGCTTTCTTCCACGGTGCTTGGTAATGTCTTGTAGACTTTGTGGAAGTACAGCATTGCTGCATGGAGTAGATCAGGTATCTTCATGCTTGCTCATCCCTTCCAAGAGCTCTGGTAGGTTTGAGGCATGTTTCAGGAATAAAAATTACTTATCTGAAGATCTCTGTTAATTCTAAAAGTTTCCATGAACTTGCTGTTTTGTAATTGTTGGGATTCTTGGCAAGTCTGTTACTTGATTTAATTGCACCACATATCACTTTCTATTCCTGTGGTGTAGGGACCAAGCAAGAAATACGCTCTACTACATTTTATGGGTTTGTATTTCCATATATGAGTTTGACTAGGAGATGGTACTAATAACTCTTCACTATTGACATCCTCAGGTTTGCTCCAAAGCCTTTCCAACAGATACTCAGTTTGAGACAGGGGTTGAAAATTGTTTCATGGGAAGAAAAGCTCCAGCAAGCTCTGTTCTAGCAACACCAACACTCTTAATGCTCCTAACCACCCCTGTGTCACCTCTTCAACTAATTATTCCTAAGTGCCTGCATGAAGGGGGTTACCCAGAGCTCCACAGAGATGGTTTCCTGGGAGCAGCTGATCACTGATAACAGCTTGGATGTAAAAAAACTCCTGAACTGTTTGCAGGCAGCTGTTGCTGCAGCACTTCCTGAGTGTTTTGGAGGGTCTTACATGAAGTGGGAGTTGTTGCTGTCAAGCTGCTCTTGGCCTACTTGCATTCCAAATTAAGAACCTCTCATTTGCATCGAGATCTTTCCTGCGAGACTTGAATCTCACTTGTACAGACCAAGAATTCTTGTTAGTTGCCATCCCCTGGAAGTGTTCAGTGTTGTTAAATGAGCAGAGCAGTTGGTGTGAGCAACTGAATCTCTTCATTCTTATAGATTGGAAACTTTCATGCTACTTGAGAAGAAATACAGCATTTTAGTCATTTTCCTCTTGGGTATAATTGCAGCCTGTAATGGGGCAAAAATTCTAACTCCTCTGGGATGGTCATTAAAAGGCCATTAATTAACCAGATTACTGATTAGGCATATAACATTAGTATATATTCTTCTACTACAATGTCTTTTTTAATTGAAGTCTGAAACTGCTGTTATTGCACAACAGATCTGCAGTCAGAATCAGAATGTTACCTTTTTAAAGATTTAGCATAAATATTTCTACACCTGACTTTTGGCTTCTTGTCAGGTTTTACTGTCCCTTTCACATTTTACTGTCCCTTTTGACTCTTCTTTCATTCACTGTTTGGTGCCATAAGTTTGCTTGGTACGGGATTAGTATTCAAAAATGGTCCTAGGAAATGGGAAACTACAATTTTGATAATCTTATCTGTCGTGTTATTTTGGTTCACTTGAATGCTTTGGAAGGTTTTTATAAGGGATTGTTTCTTTTACTGTCTTAATTTGGACCTAGGAGGAAAAGATAAACATTAATTAATAGCCTGTTTATTGTTTTAAAAAGAACACTAAGTGCAATTATTTTGTTGTATTTTTTGACTATTACTTCATTTATATTTTTACTTCCTTCTTGGTAATGATTATGGCAGAAATTTCACTAACTGGTTGTATCTCATTTTTATTATTGATAATATTCCTGGGATACCTCATAAGGAATCTTTACGAACAAGAGTCTTGTGTTTAGCATTCATTCTTAAAAGAGCATTCCTGCCTAAAAAGAGCAGGTCAGTAGCTGGAATGGGCAATGTTCTTATTGGAGATCACTAATTCATGGTGAGTTAGATTAGTTTGTGTGGCTGAGATGAATATCTGAATTCATATTAGCAATAGGAGGTAAAATGTATGTCCCTGTTTTAAAAAGAAATTTAAATTTTTATGTGCAAAACTCAACCAAAAAAATAAAGCAGGCTCTGAAATGCCAAATGAAGATTCTTCTGTGAGAATCTCTTTGCCACACAGGTGGGTGCTCAGTGAGTCTGGAGTCTTTCGTTCTACAGCAATCCCTGGCGTGCTCTTGCTTTGTGCATCAAATGCTTTCTGTGTGTGTTGGTGGAACAGGGAAACAAATAGCACAAAATAACCAAATTCCATCACTTAACTCTGTCCTGAAAGTTTAGTAAGCCATAATTTGAGTGATGCATTAAGGACGTAATTTAATAATAACTTGTAATGGATTATATTTTGCAAAATTTAGAACCGAAACTTAACTGAAACATTGGAGTGAGAGAGGTCCAGACTATGCACCTCCCTGTTCCAAGACAGCTTCTCCCAGATTCTCTTCCTGAATTTCATATGAAGTCATTCACCTGGAAAAATCAATCACTTAAGGATGAGTTTTTTAAATTCTGAATTGTCTCTTTGGCAATTTGAAGAACTTTGTGGATATGCAGGTGGGAGTGGGGCTCTCCTTCTCTTTGTGCAGCTGCTCTGTCACTGACTCCTGCAGGATAAACTGAAGGGATTTACAGTGACTGGTGCCCTAAAGATGGGATGATCACTTGGCTTAACAGTTCAGGTATTCACACACAAAGTGTGAATTCACATGCAGTTGCTAATTATGTGCAATATAATTACTGCTTAAGCTGTTTATACTCCAGAACATCACATTTGACATTCCAGTTCTAAAAGAAATCGTTATGGTGCTTATATTTCTTACCTTTGTGCTGGAACTGACTCAAGAAATAGTTGCAAAGCAAATATGAATTGTTTTTGGTGAACTTTAATAGCTAACATGGGAAATATGCCATTAGAAACTTAGCATCCATAAACCCCTCTCTCATGTGTGGCTTTTGAGTGGCAACTTTAGAACTGCTTTCTAGTCAGTCTTTAAATACTAAACTTTTTCTTGCAGCATAAAGTGGCTGTTCTTCAGTAAACGTCTTTTAAGACTCTGTTGTGTTTTAATGTAGGTGAATAATTGCTGTGTCCCATATATTTACACTTGAAAATAGCTTAAATAGCTCTAATTCTTATTATTTCAGCCTGGAGTTGTGGGGTATTTTGAGTTCAATGCTTCACCTCAACCGCCTGGTTATTTAACATTCTTCACATCAGCATTGCATTCATTAAAGAAAGGTAAAAGCTTTGTTTTCATAATTTAAGGCATCTGTGAATGAGTTATGTGTAAGAGCTTTAGTAGTTTTTTGCAATCTTTTGTAACTTGGGAATTAATCCCTTCTGTGTGTTTTTGATGTTGATCTAATTATGAGGCCATCTCCTGGGATACTTCCATAAAAAGCTTATGTGATCAGCCATCATGGAATGAAGTGCATGACAGGCTGCTGTTCAAAGATCCATGAGATCCAGATTCCTCAAAAACCCACATAAAGCCCATACACAGCCATAATCAGATTCCACTACTTCATTTAAGTGGAATCCAAGAGTCTTTGGTCTTATGCAACATGTGCAATGTCAGAGGCATTGGATGAATTTGATTTTGTCAGTACTTCATAACTGAATTCAGCAAAGGTGCTTGCCTGGATGGAGTCACAGAGCTGGCACGAGGCAGCGTGATGAGAAGGGCTTTCTTCCCCTTAATAATCTAAATACAAAACCTGCTGTGTTTAAACATGCAAACTTTGTATATGATTAATACCTGCCTTTCCATTCTGCTGGATGGAACTTTCTTAAAGTTAGGACAAGCACATTTTATGGATATTCCTGTCAGCAAATGAAGGAAATTGATACCATTCTTATATTTTACTGTGCCACTGGCTTGATACAGAGCCTGTTGTGTTTTGTTCTGTGATTTCATTTATATGTTGGGACAGTTCTTTGCCACATAAAGATGAGAGGCAATCTGTGTGTACACATTTATAAATATAGACTATATAAATACACATCACTTAAACATTGTTCATACATGCGTAGTTATCTTGGCTTTTGAGATGCCATAAAACATAGCAAGGTGCATTTGTGATACCAGATCCTATATTTAATAAGCAAATCAAGAAACTGGACCGTTCAGGTTGACGTTCTATCCCCTCTGTGCAGAAGAGGAACACGTTTGTTCTTGTTGCCAATTCTGCCTCAGTCACCAGCACTGGCAGTTGCTGTTCACAGATCCCTGTGTGGTGCTCTGAGGCTTGCAGTGTGTGTAACTATTTCAAGTGTGGCCGTGTGCCCTTGCAGATCACCTTGGGACGCTTCGCTTTGGAGTGGTGACGGACAAGCGCGTGGCGCGGGAGCTGTCCCTGCAGCGATCGGGCAGCGTGTACCTGCACCGGCACGCCAACACCTCCCTCGTGAGTGCTGCATTCCTGTCACAGGGGCTCTGGGACAGCATGGGCAGATTGAAGCTCTGTCATACCAGACCGTGAATAAACGTTTCACAGAGCTTTGGGACACGGGATCTTTAAGAAGAATAATTTTGTACGGTCATACTGTACATTCTGCCCATCAGCAGCTGTTTGAAATGGTAGCTCAGACCCCAGCTGATCATCTCTATCAAAACCTAAAACCCCAAGCACTTCACAAATCACTATACAAAGACCTTTCCCCAAAGCTTGTACATCTTTCAGTGGATCAGAATTAGAAGGCTGCTTGAGTGAGGATGTGAACAGAGAGATTTTGTGGGGGGATAGCAGGAATAGTTAAAACTTGCATTTTGTTTTAAAGGTATGACATGGCAGTGATTAGAAGAATCACACAAATTAAATTAGCTGAATTTATAATAACTCTTAATGCATGTACCTTGATTTTTGTGAAAGCTAAGGCTGAAAATACTAACTTTCAGATTTGCTATTTGGCATAGAGACCTCCCCTACCCACACTGCTACCATGAGTGGAAACTCTATGAAGATGGTATTGTGATGTGTATTTTATTTAATTGAGACTAGGAAAAATAGGGATTTTTCAGGTGAAATAACAAAGTACATAAAAGACTACTGTCTATGCAAATTATTTGAGATAAAATTGCCTGAATTTATTAAAATTGATTTTAAAGCTGTGAGCACTTTTTATTATGCATTTCAGTAATTCAATAATTTTATGATGCATTCAGTAATAAGAGATATCAGTTTTAAATGCAGTCTTGATGTTTGGGTCTTAAAAGGCTAATTTAAAATGAGTTAATATGGTGAGTTAATAGTGGGAAAAAATATTCTAATATTCTGTAAATGAAGGTATGTGATGATACCAACTTAGGGCTCTTTCAATTACGAAAAAAATTTGTACTATTGAGAAAAAGTCAAGATTATAAAGATCTAGTAAAAGAAAGAGGAGCTTCCCTGGTAGAATCCTTTTTGCTGTGTGTGTTACTATACTCTGATGAGCATTTGGGAGGCTTTTCCAGAGGGAAAGGGTGGATGAAGTGCTGAAGTTCGTTGACTGGTGTCTAACATCACATTTAGAAAGAGAGTTTTAGTCATTCCAGTAACAAACAGGCCATACTGGAGAACTGCATTCATTACTAAACCAAGTGAGGACAAAGAACTGTTCTTTTCCCCCTTGAAGATCTATCCAAAAGACATCATGAACTACACTGCTGAGAACATCTGCAAGTGGGCTCTGGAGAACCGAGAGATGCTCATACGCTGGCTGAGACCACACGGTGGGAAAAGCCTTCTTCTAAACAACGAGCTGAAGAAAGGACCAGCACTTCTCATATTTATACCTTACAATCCCTTAGCAGAAATTCATCCTCTTTTAGATGAAGTAAGTGAAATAATTTTTTTTTACTTCATAAATAGTAGAACTTGAGAGCTATAGTCAGTGGTCTGAGCTTAATTTTATTTCATTTTATTTCACTGTTCAAACTACCCAGTTTTGTTTAAAAACACTTTCTCAAACCATATTATCACAACTCCCTTACGCTGGTTTCATCCCACACAACGTGCCTTTGTCTCATTCAGCAGTTGTTTAGAACCAGCATCTTGATCTTCCCTGACCTCCCCCTGCTCGTGGTGAGTGCTGTGGGAGAGGTGCAGATCTCTGCCAGCTGGAACAGAAGCCCTGTGTGTTTTGTCCACCCCATTCTATTTTTCCTCTCCTACTGTCTTTCCAGAGGTGCTTGTGCAAGGAAGAGCAGACCTTTTGTAAAACCAGACAGTGTTATCTAAAGTATAGCCCAATCAAAAAACTACTCAGAACCACTCTGATTTTTGTACCCCATGCATTCTTTAATCACTCTTCCTCTGCCATTATTTCTGTGCTGAACTGCCCAGGACAGGAGTTTGTGTAGCTGTGCAGAAACAAGGCAGGGACACTAACTTGGCTGAAAACTAGTTTTTTGTCCCTGGGCTGTTTATCAGCTGGAATCCATCATCCCATTTAGTATAACACGAAGCTGCACATCCCACTGGTGATCCCACAGCACTGAGGACAGTGGGAACAACAGACAAGCAAGTGTGGGAGACAAAAAGCAGGGCTCAGTTTTGGTGACAGTGCTGCCTTACATACATGGCATCTGTGTCCAGGGAATTGCATGGTTTGCACAAGGAGGCCTCATCAATATTGCAGTGTCTGTAGCAATAAGGAAAAAAAGGAAAATAGCTTATGATACAATACTTAGCCAAAATAGAAATAGAAACAATAAAAGCTAAACTTGACTGCTACAAGGTAGGGTTGGGCAAATCTTTGCCTGGAAAAGAACTACCGTTAATCTTGTAGTAACCTGTCTTATTTTTGTCAGACTTAATTCAGTGATGCTTGTCACAGGTTAAACATTTTAGTAGCAGGTACCACTTATTTAGATCCAATCAGTGCAACATAAGATGGTCCGATTCAAATTTTATTCTGCTAAATAACAACGTTTATCAAAATGTGAAATGAAATACAAAACATTCCCAGTGCTCTTGCATAGCTTCAGCTTGATAGAGATATTATGCAATTTGTTTACCATGGGAGGAGCTGTTTACTGCAGCCAGCCTGTGGGTTTCATCAGGCAGTGAACCCTCTTGACCGTAAGGCAGTTGCAGGAACAAAGCTCTCAAGTTTTATGTTGATAGCTCTTGGAGCAAAATTTGTTTTCTGATCATAGCTCACTGCAATGAGCTTAACACTGATGGTCCTATGACACAACACCCCTCCTGGATGTGACACTGCAACATCCCTTTGATAATCACAGCGATTTCTGTTAGAGTGTTCCTCTGTCAGCAGCGTGTGCATGTTCTGGATTTTGTTTAATGGGCTAATGAGGATGAAAGGAAACTTCCTCTTTCATTTTCCTTTCTTGTATGTTCTGTTATTCATCTCTAGAAAGGGAATTCCTTCTATGGTCCCTACACATGCCTTTTTCTCTGCTTGTTTGCCCTTGGCTATGAAAAGCAAAATGGTGATGGAGCACAGAAATGTTGGTATTGAGAGACAGGAGTTTTTTCCTTTTTTCTTTCTTCTCCCAATAAGCCACGTTACTGTCTGCAAAATGCACTTGCAGATTGCAACTGTGTATGCCCATGGTTAGAAGAATACAGACATTGCTTCAGCACTCTTAGTGATTGTTACAAAATCTGTGCACCACCTACACCAGAAGAAATCTCTATTCCTTTTTCATATGGGAATGCTTTTATTAATTTCCTCCTCGTATTGGAAAACAAGGGAAATTCAGGACCTTGAACTTGTTAATTCCTCATGTTAGTGGGATTTAACCATAAAATGTAGTGTTACTGCCCTGCAATAAATATGATGCACAAGAGGACCTTGAGATCAATGTGGTGGACTGAATATTTTAAAGTGACTTTTGTTTGTCTTTATGTTTAATGCTTATGTGCTAAAATACCTGAAAATTTAATTTTATCAAGTCAGAGCCCCCTGTATTATTGTAAGAACAAAGATTAGTCAACTTCATCTCTCTGAAATTCCACCTGTAATTGCATATATATTGTTAAACCTGCAAGGAGAACTGCATTTGAGTGAACTGTGTACCATTAATCCTGATTTTTTTTTTCTTCCTTTTCTTCCCCCCCTTAGATTACCAAAGTGGCCTTGGAATACCACAAGTGTAACAAAAGCCAGGCAGCTGAGCCAGATCTTCAGCTCTTAGGAGACACTGATTCACCAGCTTCTGATTCCTCTGTAACAGATGCACACCCGAAACGCTCAGACCCCTTCTCCATCGCCAGGTCCCCCTGCTGTAACACGGTGGTGCTTCCACAGTGGCATTCCATCTCCAGAACTCACAATGTCTGTGAGCTCTGCGTCAACCAGACTCTTGGTGTCAAACCAAATAAAGTCCACGTGCCACACTGTAACTTTTTAGAGATAGAAGCAGCTTTGGACTCTTTCTACCTCCAGGAACACACCTTTTTCCAAGTTATATCCAATACCATAGAGTGCAGCAATTTCTTAAGTTTCTATAGTCCCTTTAGCTATTACACTGCATGTTGCAGGACAGTAAACAGGCATTTTTTAAGTTTCATTAGTTCTGAGAAGACCATCTTTCAGACCCCCAAAGTAGCATTTTCTTCCCATGGGAAGAAAGATAACACCCAATTTTCTATTCCTCACATTGAGGATAGGAATTGTTTTATTCCTGACCTTAATATTAGTAGTATGAACATTACTGGTCTGAGCTGCAGGACCAACAAAACCTTGAATCTCTATCTGCTGGATTCAAATCTTTTCTGGATATATGCAGAGAGACTAGGAGCATCAAGATCTACTCATCTTAAGGAATTTGCTGCCATTGTTGACATGAAAGAAGAAGTGCACTATGTCCTGGATCAAAATCAGTCACTTGTTGGACCTACCCTGGGTATGGTAACCACTATCCAGATGTTGATTTAAGAAAATTATGTTTCCAAGTATGCCAAGTATTTCCAAGTATTGTGAAAAGTGAGACTATAGTCAAAGTTGTAAATTGTAATTTATTCTGTTCTAACTACTATCTAGTAGTTAACCAAGCAGTTATGGATTACACTGTTGGTTAGAACAGAATCATGTTCTGGATGGCATAAAAACTAAGTTCTCTATACCAAAAGTAACTTGCTTTAAAAGAGGTGAACCTCAAAATGTGTGTTTCTTGACTGCCTGATGCATTGAAGGAATTGGTAAAATCTAAATTAATTTGCTTGTGGAAAAAAGATTATGATGCATCTAACACATTTGATATTACAGAAGACATTTGTGTAATATCCCAGAATTTTGTGAGATACTTCCCCCTTACCAGCAGAGACTTCCCCATCTTCTTGTCCTCTGAAACCAGCTTAAATTACTGTAAATTGATTTTGAAAAGTGTGTCTGTTTTCAAGGTAGAGCTCTGAGGTGGCTGAGGTCAAATCTGTCAATGCTCTTTTTTCCCTCTGAATTGGAGGAGAAAACACAAAGAACAAACAAAACCATGAAAAATAACAGGGAGGAGAAAAAAAAGGAAAAAACCCCAACCCAAGGATTGCAGTTCTGATTTACTTAGAAGTTACTGAATCAAACAGAACATGCCTGACCACGTGCATTTGCCTGTCATTGCCATTGCATTTGCTGACGTGCAAAACTGAGTCTACCTTTGGAAAATACTGGGGGTTTAATATTGCCTGTGGAAGTAAACATGGAAGGAAATTCAGGTGAATGTAGCATTAAAATAAATTGTTCAGGAAGGTGTATCAGTGTAATTCTTACTGCACTAATTACATCCCCTTTTGGCCATAAATCTCAGTACAAAAGTATGCACAGCATAGAACAAGTAGCCATGGTCTTATTAAGGATCACATCCAGCCCTGTATCTCATCTCCATCCCAACCCCCCACTCTGGAAAAACAAACAAAAACCTCAGTGGCCATAAAAGGATGCTTAGGAAATATTAAGATCAGAAGGAGGAGGTACGAATTTCCTTCCCCTTTCTGCTGCCAGTACTTTCTGTCCCAAACGTGTTTCAGGTCTCAGGATTTCCTGAGCGTGACCAGGGTCTCTCTGCTGAGGAAGGCTCAGTGTCCTCCTGTTCTGTCATTTGAACTCCCAGAAGGCTTTTACTTCGACGTGTTTTGTCAAGGATTCAGTTGTGATTTATGCTTGGGTTGTGTGGCTTTTGAAAATTTTGGTTTACTTCCTTAAGCCTTTAACTTCTAAGATTTTATAATAACAAAACAGATCAGTGTTTACTACCTTTAACAGATCTCAGTCTTTACAGGTGGTTTCTAAAAATCCAGGAATATGTCTCAATTTCCCCCTTCCTTTCAGTTACTACTTAATCATGCATAGATAGTCCAAATCTGGAGATCTAGAAAGAAAAATTCCTGTTTTGGCCTAGTGTAAGAATTTAATGAAATGCTGAATAGTAAATATAAAACTAAATGTCCTGCTGTTTGCTTTTCAGAGATAAACTCAATTATCTGATATTTTTTATGTCTGTACGAAAGTGCAGGTTTTACTTGGGCCTAGTTTTTTACTGGAAATAGAGGCACAAGCTGTTTCTATTTGACCCAAGACTTATTTTTAAAAGTAAAAAAGTAAAACCTGCCAAAATCACCTCTGTCAAACTGAAATAACTTTGTTGTGTATCAATTTCATTGCAGAAAACTTCATTAAGAATTTCAGTGTTCTCTACAGTCCCTTGAAAAGGCACCTTGTGGATGACCCTCCCGCCCCTCCTCCCGAGCAGCAGCGTGTGCTCACAGAGGTGACGACTCACACCTTCCATGAGACGGTGCTCTCCAGTGAGAAGGTAACAGCCCTGTCCCTCCCAGCTTCCTTGCCTGGCATTGCACAGATTTTCAGGAGAGTATCTCAGTCTTATTTCACATCGATGTGCTTTTCTTACTTATGACATAAAGTTATGGTGTTTTGTAAGAATTCAAAAGCGTTGGATACATGAGAATTTAAGACTGCAAAAGAATCTTGAGAAGTGTAGTAAACTTTGGTGCATTTTCGCTAAATAATCTTCTGTATTTTATTATTAATGAAAGAGAATTCCCAAGGATTTTTGTGTGTTAACTAAGTAGTCAGAGGATATCAGTAAATAGCTTGTAATAAAGTTTATTAATATTAGGACATAGTTTACTTTCACATTTTCAGGGTTCTCAAGTTTTAGATGTGAAAACCAGTCCTCCTTTCTGCAGGTTAACTCCAATAGATAACCAAACTCTTCTCCATTTCATTTTCCAGAATGTCTTGCTGCTCTATTATGCACAGTGGTGTGGATTCTGTGCTTCTCTTAATCACATCTTCATTCAACTTGCTCGGCTTCTGCCTCCAGATAATTTCACTGTGGCAAGGTAAAAAATTCAAATTTCATCTCTCCAGCATAATGTAAGATCATTGATGTCATCAGCCTAGAAAATAATTGCTTTTTTTTCTCTCTACAATCTTGCAATAGTAGATGTGAATGTCATCTGCTTCACTTCTCTTTGAACACAGTATTTTGTTTTCCTTTGTATAAATTTGGTGGTTTTCAATCTCACTGCAGTAGTTATCCAATTTAATTAAAACTGATTTTTAAACAGTGCAATTAACCTTGAAGCTTCCTAATTTCTAGAAGTGAATCAGCAACTTTTCCCATCTGATAATTTGTAGCAAATATTAATATGCTGTACTGCTGTGTGTGAGAAATTGTTTGAGAGGCAAAATGCATCTCATTGTGGTTTTTTCCTGGTGGGCAGCCGAGCATCTCTGCTGCCTGTGCACTTCCCTCCCCATTCCCAGTGGGATGGGGAAGAGGGAGGAAGAAGAAAACCAAGAAAACTTGGAGTTCATGTTTAAACTAAACATCCTTGCTCCTCTGTTTATAAGACATCAGTATTTACAACATCTGCTCTGATTGCATCTTTGTGTTACTCTGACTGAACTTACTCCAGGAGGCAGCATGAGATGTGTAGAAAAAATGAGTCAATTAAAAATCTGGCGTCTCATCACCTGTTTATGATTGCAGCTTTATTCCCACAGATGTGATGCTATTCTCAAGTCTACACCCCTTCTCCTTCCCAACCTTGAAGTTCCCTCATTTGCTCCATTATTTTCACTGCAGTATCACTGATCATGTTTTTTGTAATTAATAAGAATTTTATTTGTGATCAGAGAAACCCTGAAATGCAGAGAGAAATGTAACAAGCAGTTGAACAAGTGTTTCATTGACAAAATCTCGTGTTCCTTTCTACACAGAGCTATAGAAAAAAAATGTGCCATTAAGAATGTGCTTGTCCTTGGAAGAAGCAAAAGTAATTTACTCCTCAAACTACTTGAGGAAACAATATTAATAGAGTTGTACTTGAGGAACAGATTAATGAATAGAAATAACCTCAGTCTCCTGTTGGAACTCTTAGGCCAGTGTGTCTCAGGGAAGGAAGGTGTGTACACAGTGAAGGTGTGTACATAGTGAGCAACTGCAGTTCAGTGCTGGGTGAGAGCTGTTGGAATACTGAACATATTTTTCTAGGGAAAAAAATGCCACAGATATTTGTCAAACTGAGATTCATCATCTTGAATATTGGCAATTAATTCTGGTGACTCATGCACACATTTAGACTTAACTTTCACAGATACTTACACTTCCTTCTTCCCAATCCTTAAAATGGTGTTTTACAAGAAAATACAGGTTGTCCATCTGCCTGTTCTCTTCATCAGTGTCTTTTCTCAACAGAATTGATGTAACTCGAAATGACCTTCCCTGGGAATTTATGACAGACCGTCTCCCAACCATTTTGTTTTTTCCTCATCAGAGGTAATGTAATTCTTTTCCCTGTGGATTTTTAAATTTCATTGTACTAAGTTACAGTAAGTAGCTGGTTACATGTCTTAATAGAGAAAAAAGCCAAACAGTAATTCATTTCCACCCTCAAGAACATCAGCAAATTATAATTCAGACTATTGGTGATGTGCAGTTACTTACCACAAAATCTTTAAACCTGTGCCTTAAGTTTTGCAGTTCTAAATTCATGTTTTAGTTCAGCACAGAAATCAGTTCCGTTTATATCAGTTCTGAGTCACCCCAACTTCCAACTGATTATTTCCCTATTTCCTTTCATAGATTCTCATTTTGTCTTGGTCTGTTTTATAAAGCAGCTCCAGACTGTCTCTGGAGTGACAGACTGAATAGTTTAGTAAAACTGGTTTTGTAATGTTCCAATTGGTTTTGTAGAGGTCCCTTACCTCTAGTCACTGTTTTCACTGCTGCTTTTCCTCTCCAGTGTGTTTTATATTTTGCTGCATGTGGGTAATCAAGAAAATTAAGTTCTGATAGTATTTGCAGCATCCCAGCACTCCTTGAGTAGTCATGTATTCATTTTGGATATAAAGGTGCCTCATATTAAGGTGTTCTGTGCAGCTTCTTCCCCATTTGCCTTACGAGACAATTTTTGCAAATTAACTCTTCTTAATTTCATTCCACCACATGCTGTTAATATTTTGTTTTGCTATTTGTTTTAAATAGCCTTTTAGCTTCTTTCATACACTCTGTGGTTTAGATCAGTAACAAAGGAAGATGATGTAGTAAAATATCAGCACAGTGTACTGAGTCAGTGTTGATTTAATGTAGACTATTTCTTGCCTGAATGATGTCATGATTCATTAAACTTGGATGTGAGCTGATCATCAGCTGAGAAGCTGCTGATGGTAATTAAAAGAATAACTTGGTGGATCACCAGAAGTCTGCAGGGGAGGGAAAATCATGGTGCTTACTCTTTGAGAAATAGCTTAATTTTGATGAACAGGAGCTTCATGTGTTTAACAGCAAACTGCTCCTGCACAGCCTTTCAGATGCTGGAACACACCAAGCTCCTGCTTCCAGGGCAACACCTATAGGATCAGAGTGGTCATTTCCCAGCAGGCAGCTCTGTAGATCTGGACTTCAACTCTAACAATATATGTAGAGTTACAACACTTAAATGTTGTCCTTCAACTTACAAATATGAATTGTCATTATGCTCTGATCAACCTGCCCAGAAGTAATGCTACCACATGTCCTTCAAGCTCATAACCCTTGGTGCCCTGATTGGGATCCTTTTTGTTTTTAAGGGTAAAATTTGTTTTCTGAAAATTGACAGAAAGTTTTTCTCAAGTAGCAATGCCATGCAGAGATGTTCATAGCACTCAGACTGGAATACAGGTAAAAGACTTCATCACAAGAAAAGCTATGGGCTCTTATCTACATTACATGAGTTCAGGTTTCTCTGAGCTGCTGTACTAACCAGGCTTGATCAAAAAAGCCCAAGATACCAAGTTGGAGTTGAACAGCAGTTGCTTAGATAAAATTATCACTGCTTACCTATCTGAATGTTTTACTATAAACTCGTTAATGTCTTTCTAGGAAGGCGCAAAGTGTGAAGTTCCCTGAAGACTTTTCAGTTAACCTGCCCAATCTCCTTAAATTTATTTTACATCACTCAAGTCTTTCTGCATCAGAGCCCTGTACCAAAGAGTGCCAACATAAAGAGTCGGTTCTGCAGCAAGGACACATCTCACACTTGGAGAGAGAAATTCAGAAGCTGCGATCAGAAATCAGTGCCCTGCACCAGGCCCACGAGCAGCTGGAGGCACAGCTCTCTGAAGCCCGGAGGGACGAACAGAGACTGCAGCAGCAAAAACACACACTGGAAAAGCAGCACAAGACTCTGCAGCTCCACAGTGAGCAGTTACAGGCCACCTATGACCAGAAGAATCAAGAATTGCTAGAAATGGCTGAGAAGCTTCAAGAATTAGCTGATGCATCAGAAAACCTCCTTAAAGAGAATGCTTTACTGAGAATTCTGGTGGCAGCGAGGGAAGGAAAGCTACAGAGCAGAGACGAAATTAAAGAATCCCTTCAGTCTGAGCAAACACTTTCTGAAGATAACAATGTGTCACCTTCAACAGCTACTGCCACATTAGAGGAAAAAAGGATTGATAATATTGATACCACAGAGACAGAGCACAGTAGTGGAAACAGGACAGAATGACTGCTTACATAAAGTCAAATGTTTGGGTAGGTATTTATGCAAATTTTATTGACATTCATTGTAAATAAAGACTTTTTCCCCCCACATGATCTAGAAAAAAAAAAATCAAATGGAATATTTTTGTATACTTGAACAACTTATTAGATACCCCCATCTTAAGAGAAGAGGAGAATGGAAAACACTTTCTGCACTTTACTATTGCACTAACTTGCAAACACCTATCCATTTAATTTAAAGATGCTGATTTTTAGGGGCAGCCGTGTGAAGCACCTCTGACTAAGGACCAGTTACTTTTCACTGGCTTTCTCTTACAGCTGCTGGAAAGAAATTAGACCTTTGATTTATACTTTTCCATAATTTCTGAAGTTTGCCCTTTACACTGCATTCTCTTTGCTGAATTAAAATAGAGATACTTCATCTGTGTAATCAGTAAACTTGAATGGACAAAGTCATCCTGCTACAACTGTTCTGTTCTAAAACTTCAGCACTTTGTATCACTTTTGTATCCTGGTATTCTGACTGTCTTGAAACCCACAAGAGCCATGTGTGAACTGTTCTCTACTGAAAACTAAAGAAAGTCTTACTGAATTAATCCTTTTCTCTTTGATTTACAAGAGGTCTGGAATACAGCAATTGAAGTGTACAGATCTGGCTATACATGCAAGTCTCAGGAGACCAGGATCTTAAAAATCATGTGCCAGGGTAAGAACATCTATCAGCTGTACCCCACATGTTGTACTCAAGAGGCAACAGCAGGAGCTTTTTGCTACTGACAGCATTCATTCTGCTTCAGATTACAGCCTTCAATTAAAAAGGAAAAAAAAAGGTAAATGTAGCACTAAAAAAGCAATTCAGCATCTTAGTGTAGAAGAGAGGACAAGACTTTTTGCCTAGGCCATTATTGTCTTGCATAAAGTTAAAGTTCTCAAGCAAGCTTGCTAGGCCTTAGTCACTCCATATGTAGAGGTATGAGAAGCAAGTTGAATGCTTCCTCTAGAGCTGAATTAAGGCTAGACAATTAAGTGTTTAAAAATACCAGTATGCAAAGGAGGCCACGTATAAAGTAATAGAAAACAGGCCAGTGGCCTCAAAGCATGTGTGCCTACACTAAGAGTTTAGAACATGTAAGCTGCCACTGGTAGTTCAGTGTTGCCTCCTGTCCTCCACCCAAACCTTTGAGGTCCAGAACTTTCCCTTTAACACATTTTTACAGTACTATAGCTGAACTCTAGCACAGAGCAGGAAATGTATGTTCTTATCTGGAAGGACTGGGCCCTTGGTAGCTAAAAACTTCTACAAACTGACCAGCAATCTCCCTTGCCCCTATTACCAAGGGGAGGAAAGACTGAAGCTTCTCTTCTAGAAGTACAGTTAAATCCAGGGAGTTCTCTACAAGATACATTAACTGAATTCTATAGTTGACTGTTTGTGGGTTAAAATGCCTTTTTATAACAGGCTGTTAACATACATCCTACCTGCTAAGTACACAAACCAGGGTTCTAGGAAAAATTCATACTAGTTGCACTTAAGCCCATTTTGATAAGGAACCACTTCTGCAGTTTCAGCATAGACCTATAGAAGAGAAAAGTCTGCTCTACTGCCATTTCAAACTCCTGGAAACCTTCTGGACCATCCCTGAGAATTCAGTATCCATCATTAGTTCCCAGGTAGGAATCCATCAGAATGGCAGTTTCCTTGCAGTAGCTACATAGAGAACTCAGTTCTAGCAACCAAAACTTAACCTACATAGCTGCAGCTAAAGGAAATCACTTCCTTTCTTGTAGCTCCTCTGTTTCCTCCCTCAGCATATTACTGAAGGCTTATCCCTTCTTTTCAAATAAAGTACTCTGCACCAGTCCAACAAACTGTTAAAACTAGGACTTCTGACTGTACAGCTGTGCACTCAATCTAGTAGCAGAAGCAAGTTTTAACTGCAGATTTGGTTTTGAAGGTCTGGAATCCCATCCATGGTTGTGGTTCAGGACGCCCTTTGTGTATTATATACACTTGCATCATATTATTCCCATATGCTACAGAACACAAAGCAAAAGTTTCTGGTGGCCTATTTACAGTTCACAGTTGTAAAGTAGTTCACATTACAGTAGTAGCTCCATCAAAATAGGCTCAGCTAAACATTCAAGTAACAAAAATTGGTAGTAGTCTCTTCACACCAGTATATCCCTGTGCCCATTGCCGGCAATGGACGTTATGCCAGGCGAGTCAGCTCCTGTCATAGAGGAATTAGGATACACAGTTGATGCAAAGTGCAACTTCTCAGTGCATGCAGTTGCAAACAAAGCTTATTTAGTTCCCATCAGGGTGTTTTCTGATGAGCAGTGTGCATGTGGCCAGGTTCTTTGCAGTGCAGATTCTTCTGCTGGTTACACACGTCAGTCCATCGGCACGTGTTGCTCCAGGTTAGCTGTGAGCTTCGGTGCCATTGGGAGTCAGCTTAGCTTTCCTCTCCACACAGGGTCCTTTAGCAGAGTACTGCACCAGCAGGAAGGGCTCTTTGGTTTCTCCCTCACCCACAATGCTTTCCTCATCCTCAGACTGGCTGAGTTTCTGCAGCCTCAGGTAGCACCAGCAGCCCAGGATCAGGGCCCCCAGCGCCGCGATGGCGATCAGGATCACGATCACAGTCACCACGCCCGTGGTGGGGCTGTGATCTGTGATAGACATGGCCAGGAGCTCACACTCTGCACTTCTTCAGGGAGATCCTTCTGTCCTCACTGTCAGTCCTGCTGCATCTTCGAACTCCTGCAGTGGAAAAAATAACCAGTGAAGTTGTGCAGTTTCACCATACTCAGCACCATTATATTCATGGCTGGAATCCTTCATGTAGCACGTGACCCTCCTGCACTCACTGCTGTGCTGCTCACACAGAATCACAGACTCATGGAATCTTGTTTCAGCTCTTGACACGCCTGTCAAGATAACACATGGTCAGCCTACTGAGAGGTAACAATTTTTATTAGAAGATATGAGACAAGACATTGGTAAGGTATTTGTGAAGGGATTTGCAATTCTAATGCATTACTGTAAGTCTGTCCATAACACTGGTCTGCTTAGAGGGGCTGACTACAAGGTAATTATTGTTCATTGAGCTGATAAAAAGCAGCACATGTTGTTTTATGTACATTTTTCATAAGAAGCAGGTAGAGCTATATTTATTGAAGGCTAACAAAACACAATGGGAAGATGATTATTTTAAACTTATGCTCCTCTTAGGGGTTTTTAAAACAATAATAGCAAGGTGTTGTGTTAGGACTGCAGCTGAAACTGGAACAGAGACAGCAGGCAGGAAAATGGGAGAGAAGAGGTGCAAGACTTCCTTAGTCTGCTGTAGTTTTAGCAGAACAAAAATACATAGGTAATGTCTTTTGCTACTTCCAAATTTAAGGGGTCATGTGAGCCTTGTCTTTAATTTCAAAGTTAGTGTTTTCAAAGCTGGTAGCTTCACTTCCTTCCCTTCAACAAGGACATAAGACAAAGTCAGTCATTACCTTTTCTTTCCTATACCCCAGCTCTTTAGCAAAAGAAAAACTCAGGGAAGACTTTAGTAAAGACTGAAGCCAGTCCTCCCCAGAAGCATCTCTTACCTCTGTACTGCTGTAAAAAAGCAACACTACAATTTCAGGTACAACAAGAGGTTCTAAGGTCAGATGCAAGTGCACATCTGCATTTCACCTGACCTGGAGCCACTGACTGGCAGTGGAGTAACAGCTTCCAGCTGCTCTAAGTGCCAGTCTGTTGAGGGTAACATTTTTCCAGGAAAAGCCCACCCTCACTGTTGCAGTCTCTCACTCACTGCTGCAACAGCAGCATCTTCATCCAAACCCCTCAGGAAGAGCCAGTCTTACCCAACCTTGAGCCAGACCCATTAGTTTATGGGGTTACCCACTGCACTGGAAGCCTCACCAGTGTTTCAGCATGAGTGAAGGCAATTGCAGTGCAGTACCTTTACTAAGAGAGCTCAAGCTACAGACTGAGTTTGTTCCCTGATGTCTCACAGAATGGCAGACCCGTATCTATCACCATTTCAGCAAGGACACCTCCACTACAGACAAGTTTAGCATATGTCATTAGGGTCCAATGTCACATACTCTGCTTACATTTCCAGCCCTGTAAATAACAGCAGTCAGTAGCTTGTAGCGTACCTGACACAACTAACCAAGTCCTGCAGACTCAATTTTGCCCAAGTAATAAAACCAAAAGTGACCCCCCCCCACTCCATCAGCAGAGCTGTGCCCACTGCACCCAGAGAGGTGTATTTGTCATAATCACCTTGGTTCTGCAATGCTTATTCAACACAGGGTGATCAGCTGAGGGTGATTAAGAGTGACTTTCATGTAGTTCATTTTCCTCAGGGCATGTCTGAACAGCAGCATTGTTTGATCAAGCCAAAACAGTACAGCATCAGCAGAAAAGGGAGTTGAGTTTGCTTCCCATGCAGGCACTGCATGGCCACTTTAAGGCCTGTTCTGCAGCTTCCACCTTTGTTAGCAGCAAACCTACTGTTTGTCTACAGCAGTTTGGTGCAGCACATGATATGTTACACAGTTACTGTCACCTAGAAAATAGCTTTTGAAAGTGGAAACTAGCATTGCAAGTGCTACCCCTCTGCCAGTCTTCAAGTGAATAGACAGCATCAGCTATAGAAATTATGAAACTTTGCTCATCACCATCCTCTGTATCACCAGGATCTTTAGGAAGTCTCAGTTCAAGATGCATGAGACTGATTTATACTCTCTGAACAATTTTTAGTCCAAATTTGAGTGCAACACAGCAACTTACAGATTCCTCTTAAAGATCTTTCTTGGCCAAATCCATAGTTTTTTACCTTTAAAGTTCCAAACGTTTTTTATTTGATTAAAAACCTCAAAGATTTCACTTCTCAATGAGATAATGTGTAGACACCATTCCTTCTCTGCAGGCATATCCCACTCAAGGCCTTTAGAGTCAGCACCCTTTATACAGTCATGTATTAAGCATCTGTACAGATTTCCAGTGGCACAAACAACTAGTTAAT